CCCGGCCACATATAAAACGAAGGACCGGAAACTATTCTTTCCTGCTTGCCCTAGTTTTCATTAAAAAAAAAAAAGAAATTGGTATCTCTGGCACCCCTCAACTCAACATTGAAGCGGCACCAGCTTCGCCTGTGACGTCATTCGGAGTGGCGTTGGTTTCCGGTTGGGTGCTTCTGGGTCCCGTTTCCCCAGCGATCGCCGGCTTGCCAGGCTCGCCGCTCTCCCGCCGATTCCCGACCAACATGGCGGCATGGGCGGACGGCCTGAGCGACGTCGAGCGCAAGATGCTTGCGACGCGGCGGGCAGTCGAAGTCGAGGTCGAGACACCAGGAACAATAACGATACCAGGATACTACGGACCACGACCAACGCACTCCGTCGAGCGAGGGAAAGACAAAACGTCCGGGTTGCTCGTGTAGCCGCCGTAGGCGCCTCGGGCGATGACGGCGACGGCAGGTTTGGTTGACTTGCGTAGATGGCGCCACAAATCTTTTAGCGGCAATATTAGGCTTTTGAAGCGTTTCTGCATGCCTAAACAACAAGATTTTTTAAACTTAACCTTAAATCAAGCTTACCATTGCCTAACTCTGTCACTTACAAAAACCACTCCGAATGACGTCAGACCACAGGCTCCATTTGCGGCCACCATGTGGCCGCAGGTTGGGAAAAAAAGTGTGTTTTATTTTACGATTACGCAGCGAAATAGAGGTATTTTGGGGTATGGCGGCACTTTTTCTCTTACTTATACCGAAGTAAACAATATAAAAAATACAAGCTGCACATTCGTTCACTGTTAAAATCATTGCACCGCCCCTTTAAAAAGGCCCTGCAATCATATTTAAGCGTCTACCTTTTTTGCGGTTTCCACGTCTTTTGGGGTTCGGGCAAGCCAGCGGGCACAGAGAGAGTAACTAAACATCAGTGCATCCTATTTGAACCGGACGACGCGGAAACGTCTTCCACCTACGGGGGTGACCCGCGGTGCGAAAAGCACGCGATGTGACGTCTTTGGTCCTGGGCATACTACTGGTCAAAGCCGCTAAAAGCTCCCTTTTAGTTGAAATACAAAATATAAGTGGCGCAAACCGTTTCAATCATTCATAAGAGTAATTTCTGTTCACTATTTTAGATGAAAAAAAAAATGCAGTTTAGAAAGTACATAAACAAGAAATGACCCGTCGACATACCCGCCACCAAGCAGTCGAAAAGGCGGTGCATACTAGAAAGGAGTAGTGGGACCAGGCGCAGACTAGGAAAGGTCCTGGATGTTTGCGGTGGTGCTGCGGTCGTTTATGGACCCGAGGACCCGACCAGTTCCGAGCGTTCCGAAGGCCGTTGGCGAGCAGGCTTGGCTTGCGGTTTGGCCGTTTCGCGGTTTGGCAGTGCGATGTGGCTCCCATTCTGAACTGATCTTTACCCCGTGTTTGCTGTTGTTTGTGGTCAGTGAAGTGTTATGCCGAATTAGTGATTAATCGCGCAGCAAATGCAATGCAAGCCGCTCTGGCTGCCCGCTTCATACAGCATATCCAGAACATGCTCTAGTGGCGCCCTCTCGCGCCGTCGACACGGAGTGCGGCAGCCGTGAGCACTCGCTGAGCTCACTACCCCTCCTCTAGTTCACGGCCACTCAAGCGACCAAGGACGTCATAAAGGTTATTTTTTGTTAGTTTTTTTTAAATTTTAATTTGCCTATAACTTTTAAAATAAAGCAAAATTCGAGAAAAGTTTCATTAAGTTACAACGTTCAGTGCGCTCAAGTTTGGTGCAAATTAAAAACCAGTAAATAAAGTCCTTGCTGGGCCCCCTTAAGTGTATCTGCAAATTTTTTTTAGCCACCCAAATTAATTATTCCTAGAGTGAAAATCAATTTAAAAAAAAAAGAGAAAAAGACACTGGCGATAAAAATATGCTTTCTACGGGATAACATCAGTTGCAGTGGACGTAAGGGCACGAGCGAAAATACACAGGGGCATCATTGTCAGAAACGTTTTACGAATGGTCTTGAAAATCGCAACTGCAACATGCAGCATAGAACCTCTAATTAAAAAGTTAAATGGCAAATTTTAGTTTATTAGGCTACTAATTGTCAATTTAAGCCCGTTCCCTTACGTCCGCCACAGCCGATAATGTTATCCCGTAGGAATCATTTCTTTCAGAAAATAGTAATAATTATAATAATAATAAAACGCCCAGCTTTGACAACGCTTCACATGTGTGAGGTTCGATGACCGACAGAGAACCTCCGCTGCCCGTGCTCACGAAGCGGGGAAGTGCAATTTATAGAGACTAATCATCTTATCAGAAAGATGCACACAATCCAGGAAAAGTATTCTTGCAATTATGAGGGAGTTCCTGCAAACACTAAAGAGTTTTGAAGAGTGAAGATTACAAAGGAGAATATCAGCAGGACTCTATTGTTTATTCAAAACAAAACAAGCATCACAAAAACGCATTTGGGCGGCCAGAAGCACGAACTGTGCGCACCCGGTGTGGAACCAGCGAATGAGAGGACACTCCTAGCAATTTGTTTTCAGAGCCACGGTATGCTGGCTGCCGGCCAAATATCCACTTTGAATCTAATATGGCTTTCGACACGTAAGTACACGCTCGAGGATTTTCAACAATATCACGCGAGCGCCGACCGGCCTGTAGATCAGCGCATCATCACGGCCTGAAGTAGCGATATCAACGACAGTACGCGCGTGTGCAGAATTAAAAAACGCGTCAAACTCGGTGTCGGCTGCTACGCTGTTTCCCCAATCACGACCCACCCCTGGCGCGACGCCCACTGCTTGCTCCGCCCCATAAACAGGCGACCTAAAGAGTAATCACAGCGACACACACAATATGCGTCGCAAACACGAACAGCAGCCAGTAGGAAGGACACCTGACACGAGCTTAGTCAGCGAACGAAAAGACAGACAGAAACTTCACGCTAGGCACACGGAGCAGGGATAGTTACAAGGATGAGAGGCATGCGCAGACGAAGGTAAGCAGTGCACAATAAATACGCGAAAACTCGCAGCAACGGAAGAACCACGCAGCAAACACGTACGTGCACACGCACCAGAAGCACGTGCGTCACGCTGCATATCGACGTGGAACTGACGATTTTGGCATTTTGGTGATTTGTTACTTCGATGTCGATTGCGTGAATGATTATATATCAGTGGATTATATTCAGCAGACCGTGAACCGGTGGAGCCTGGCATAAAAAAAATCTTTTGACAATATGAAAAACAATTGAAAATCTTCCTAAAAGCTATATTAGCAGAAAGCACCGTGTTATAAAGGACCACATGAGTTTCGACCACGTTTTCTAGCAATGTTATTTTGCAAGAAACGCAAGAAACCAAGTGTACAACCAGTTTCCGAAGCTGGCAACCACAGTTGGAATCAGCGCCATCCTCGGCAGTTTCCTGAACCTCGCGTAGTCACATTTCAGCCGCCACCACATAGAGGGCGCAACCAGAGATCCAATTTATATTTTCTGTATTTTTTATGATTTCTTTAAAAATTAGGCACGATTAGCAAAAATGTGGGCTAACAATCAGGACCTGGGACAGTAAACTCTATTTCATACTAAATATATTGGCCTAAATGTCTGCCAAAAGGGGCCAGAATACTTGTTTTTGACTTGACTATCAACGAATTCGTGATTTCGCCTATATTCAAGCTTTTTGTTATGAAAAATCAAAGGTGAAATTTAGAAAAAGGGCCTCGGTTGACAAAGCAGATTATGTTTTTCTTTACGAGCCTAGAATTTTATTTAACTGCGCCAATCCCTAAGCGCTGTACTACCAAGTGAAGTTTGCCAAAATTAACTGTTTTTGCCAATTTTCACGTGAGCATTCCGAAAAAAGTTTAGGTCATATTACAATGAAATTTTGTGTAGCCCTGTAATTGCCAACACCTGTAAAAAGTTCCAGATGAAATGATCGAGTAGGCGCCAAAAAATTTGCGACTGAATGTGCTTCCACAAAGTCAGTTTTTCTAAAATCAATATCTGTCAAAATAAGATAAAAAACGAAAAAAGGGCCTCCATTGAAAATGAACGCCACTCTTCTATAACATTCTAAAATTTGAAAAAAATTGAACCAATAAAGCACCCTGCACCACTGTATTACGAAACCATGTTTTGCCAAAAAGGCAAATATTTGCGGGTGCCCACTGAGTTAGCTTTTTGCATTAGGAAAACAAATTCTACATCAGAGGAAAGATAATGTTGTACACTACAAGACGATATATAACGCACAATTTTAGCAAGCTTCAACACGCTACAATTGCATTTCGAAAACGCGGAAAAAGCGTCATATGTCATGGCCGCCGTGGGACCGCAGCCTTAAGAGACACCGGCGACGAAGCGGAGCCAACTGCAACCCGCTGACGGACGTCTCGGAGGTCGTGGACACGACTGGCGATCTCCCGGCAATGGGGCACCCGACAACACTTCTTTGAGTCCAGCGGGCTTAGATAGGGCCGGTGCTAAGCAGCCAAAAGAACCAGCTGGCGACAGCGCATCTGCCACAAAGGCGGGAATCGCCCCACGGGGAACCAGCAGCGAGACACTATCAGCCAGTGAACCGGAGCCAACGACTGCAGAAGGCATAACCTCGTGGGTCAACCCCAGTGGGTCGGGCCAACGTGAAGCGGGCGACATGGACACCAGTCTAGCGACGAAAGTCAACGACGGTGGGGGAAAACAGGACGCACTTCCCGTCCCTAGTGCCACTAAGCCCCTGACTACTCCAAAGTCACCAATGTCAAGAAGGGCTCCCAAGCATCCTCCAACTTAACAAAGTAGTGAAGGGTTTACGCTTTGCTACTCTAAATGCTAGAGGGTTTAATTTTAAGAAACGTGTGACCTCATTGCACGACATCACCATGTCGCACGACCTGTAGCATGCCAGTCAAGCGTAACCTGTCGCTTTTCTCACGCAACTTAGCCCTACGACACTTACTGCGCTAAAAGGATGCCGTGGGGCTGCTCAAGTGCTCACCTGGAGCTCGTCCTGGTCCGGCAGTTCAATGTGGAAGCTCAGGCTTGCCAGGCAGCAGGGGACAAGCTTGCGGAGCTTGACAAACAAACTCTGCAAACACACGCCAGACTGGATTCAAACATCAATTAACTTCAGCTTCAATCCACAGGAGCTAGTCTAGCCACCTTGATTGGGTATAGTCATTTCCCAAAAGCGAGGTTTTGCTTTCAATTAAAGATTTTAGGAGTATTCTCAAAGATAATTCTAATGTTTAAAAACACAATGTTCGAGCATTAAAATGCATCAATCTACGAGAAGTCAAAAAATAAAAAGCAGCTCGGAATGTTGATGCTAGGAGACTCCTTACTTGAATGATGTGGTCGAAGTGCTGGGAAAGAATCCGACTAGGATGTATGCCAGGGAAGAGCTTGGCCCGGTAAGTTTGCATAAACAACTGGAAACGAGCCAAGAAGGATGACGACACAATCAGACGCACTCGAGCTTGTAGGCCCTAAAAGACGTAGCAACATCAGTAGCATATGGCGGTATACATTAGTCACATATTTGCACAAGTCATACAGTCAAAAGCCCTTACTATAAATGAGTTTCATAAAACTGACAAAAAATTAAGTTGTGCAAGTCATTTTTGTCCCATGAACTTGGGGCTATGAAAAATTTTAAAAATGTGAAACAGGTTCACCACCTATTGACACAGAAAGCAACGGCACTGATGCTGTACCTTGCTAATTCCAGGTCTTATATTCTGCGACACTTGTCAAACAATAAGCAACCAAATAGTTTTTCTTTCTTTTTATTTTTTATTTTTTTTTTTTACAAAGAGATGTCACAAATAATAAGACAGTGCACAGTATTTTTAACGCAGAATGTGGACTGGAATCTCCGAGGAAAGTATGACGAAACGCCACGGAAGCCGTTACGAAATCGGCAACACCTATTTCGCTGGTTAATCTGTACAAAACAGTGGTAAATTGAGAAGAAAAAAATTTGAAACTCGCCGCAATGGGAATTGAATCGACGACCCCACGACTCTTAGCTCGACGTTCTACCACTGCACTAATGAAGGGGTAGACGCGAGGCCAGCCCACCTGTCTCTACCCTGCCGAACTTTACTAACTGCTTGAGTTCGGACAGTTTATAGAACAAGAAGTCCAGAACATAGAAAAAAGGACAGAGTTTAAGATAAAGTGACCTGTCATAACCAAAGAAAAAAAAAAAACTCCCACAATGTCCACTGCAAGCTTCAAAGAATTCCGCCGAAACACATTCCCTCTATACCGACTACATCTGTAGGAAGGTAATACAATCGAGCCTGGTGATATCACACCCGGGCATTTCGAACTATTGTTTATATTGAACAGTCCAAACAACCCCATGAAAATCGCATGGAATAGTATAGGAGCATTGTTTTTCTGTATCGAACTCCCATGGCCGGGACACTCCATATAGCCACCTAAAACGGCCGCTCCTCGCTTCTCCCCGATCAGATTGTGCCTTGCGCCGGCGGCGCGCACATAGCTCCCATTGGGGGGCTGGCAGACTGCCAAACCAGCATACGCGCACGGGGTAACAGGGATGCGCAACAAAAAAGCAGTTGTTACAAAAAAAAAAAAAGGTGGAGGAAGGCAGAATTAAGGGAGGTGCTCGCTGTAGGAACGGTACCGTGTGCTCTTTCCCCGAACACCGCTGTTGCTGCGCGACTCCTTATCCTCAGAATAAAAAAGGTAAAAAAAAATATAAAAAATTGTCATGTCAGTGTGTTGACAACAATGGTTGAGCAATCACACTTTGAACACTTTATCTTCAACAACCTTTTTCTTTTGCCGTTTTTGCTTTGTGCGTTGCTCTTTTTTTGCCTTTCTTTTTTTTTTTTTGCTGTCTGAATTTAGTGAGGTTTCTTTTTTCTGCTTGCTTAAAGGAGCTCTGCAACGATATTCAATTGGAATGTTTTTCTCTCTACACGAGCTTACTGGCACACCTGGGACTCAAGGATACTCACACGCAACGCCACTGGCCAAGAAACTCCTTTGTTGCGGTGTAATTTCAAGGACAAAAGCGATCATTTTCATTCAATCTCTCCTTTGCAAAATTTCATGACGTAACTCGGGGATCGCAGTACACCCAAGTGACGATATTTGAATGCGGTTCATAGATTGGACCCGAGCATTGCGTGGACACTCGATTTGGGCTCGTGAGAATTACTAGCTGGAGAAGCATTCGGGTTGTGACCCGTGTCCAATCGCTGCAACGACGGCAACAGCCGAGCCATAACAATGTCTGGAACTCAGCGCGTGTCCTGCGCTTTGCCAAGCCCAGCGCGTGGCTATGATCAACACTGGCGGCATATAATCGGCTCCAGATCACGTGGCCGCTTGTTCTGGCTGCGAGTTGAGGGAGTGAACGCTGCTCGTTTTTCTTAAATTTTTTTCTGGGACTTCTATTGCGTGGAGTGAAAAACGAACGCGTGTTTCATAGGTCATTAACGTTAGGGATCCGTTTTAAGCGGTATTTGTGCACAGTACAAAAATTGTTGCACAGCTCCTTTAACTTTATTCTATACATCAAGTTTCGGTTTGTGCGGCTCACTTTTTCGATTTTCTTGAATTTTTTAAAATTATTTTCGTGTTTTGTTGTTGGCACTGCGTGGAGGTCGTGGCCAGGTGCAAACGATCGCAAACACTGTTGCGTAAACGCGGCGGTGTTTGTGATCTTCACCAACTAAGCTCTACAGTACTTAGCGGCTCTTAGAGACTCTATTTGGTAAGGTCCCGTTTGTCGCGGCCTTCGGTATTAGCAGAGACGCATGGAAATCTCAACTGGAGCTTAAGTTGACACATTTTTGTATATCAAATTATCAATATATTGAACTATATTTTACGATCCCCTTCCAATTCAATATATCTGGGTTCGACTGTAAATGTGGCATTTTTTTCATTCAGATTCGCACCCTTTTTAGTAATCTATCGGGAGCATGTCCGGCAGTTGCAAGCTGTCCAGATTGAAAAGCATTGAATGAAAATATTGAAAGTGAAAAGTTGTTGCCTTTCTTCCATTCGGTTTTATTTTGGTGCGTTCGCTTCCCGTCTGCTTCCATAACATTCCAGCGATCTCTGACTCCGAACTGGAGGTACTTCTACTCCGTCGGACGACGAGCTCCCATTATCCAAAATAAATTTCAAAAGGCATTGGAAGTCTGAATCGGAAAAGCTGGTGTTCCAATTACCTCCAGCGCCAGAGTAGCCAACAGACCAGCGGCCATTTCGAGCGTATCACTTCCACGGAGCGTCTTCTTTCAGAGCTGTCAATTGCTCGGCAAAGCGAAACACGGTGCCAATGAAACAATCCTTGTTCCCCGAAGACGTAACAGATAGCAGCATCTCGTGGGATGCGCACTTTCGCATTTAGGCGAGAACTTCCAAATGTGTAAAAGCCGCCGTACGTGTACGGCGTCAACCGTGAAAAAGATAAACTGCTAGCTTTTCACGTCGTACCTCGTGTGTCGATGCAGTCTTAGTCGGTGTTCAGGGTTGACTCTACACTTGTAGGAGGTCTCGAGCCGGTCTTGAGAAAGACCACCAACTAAAGTGGAACCTACCCTCAAAGAAATTACAGTCGTAAAGACAAAAAAATTGGGTACACCCGCGAGCGATATGAAGGTGAACAGCCCTCTTCTTGTTTTTGACGCTCCTGCAAGTTTTCGAACAAGCTATGTTCCAGAAGAGGGCTAGAACGCAAAGTTAAGCCCCCAAGCCAGGTACCATTTGAGACGTTGAGAGTTAAAGGGGCCCTCCGGAGTGTTCTGCGATGGTCTATTTATGGCGGTAACTCAATCTACGGTCCCTAAGGATCCTAAAAATGATAAAATTACGGTCATGCGCGGCCGATTTCCCTATTAAAATTGCTATCAAAGTTCCAGGCACGCCCCCCTTTCTGAGATGACCCCGGAAAATGGGAGGGGCATCTCTTTACGCGTCATCCAATAGCAAGCGAACGATTCCGGCTTCACTGCGCGTCACCAACGCGGCCGACCGCCGACGCGCGGAGGAATCTCTCGAACAAGCGCAGACCGTTGTCAAGAAGCCCGGACTTCGTGCTCGGCAGTCGTCGTTCGTGGCACCGCACCGTCGCGCTGCTACTGCAATACGCAGTCGCATTCCACAGATGACAAGGAAAAGTTTGACTCGTTGACGTACAAAGATCGCCAAGCTGGCTTCGGAGTCGGGATCCACGGGAAGAAGGAACACGTGTCCCGCCAACGCACGCCTGCACACGCCCCGGGAAGCAGACGACCCGACGCGCCGACGCATCACACCCTAGCAACAAGCTTGCGGGGACAAAACATAGTTCGCTGGTTTTGGAACGATAATTGTGAACTATGTTTCTCGCACCACAATCAGTTTATGTTTTTCTCAAACTCTAATTTACAACAAGCTTAAAAAGTGTTGCGATAATAACGTTCGCTTTCACCACGAGATGCAGCATTTCCATTGGTCAACTTTTAGCGATGGGCAGGGAATGGGGGATTGTCTTCCAAGAGAAAATAGTCCCGATATATTTCTACTGCCATCTGCTTAATAAATGGTTTTGTAATCTAAAACTTTGTATACATATTAACTTGCACCTACTACGCAATATAACAACATAAACAGACGATCTCAGAAAGCTCCGGAGGGCCCCTTTAATATAGCTTTAGGAAGCCATAAACAAGGCAAGAAATTAGGTAAGGTGTTCACCTTCATATTGCCGGCGAGTGTACAGTCGTCAAAAACATGGTTGTTCTAAAAATCAGATTGCTTTTCTCGCGCTAAGGTTGACTGGGAGATTGCTGCAGTGCTCTCCATTTGAAAGGTACTAAAAAAAATGAAAAACGACAAACGAAAAACAACGAAAAAAACAACACAGACAGAGACTACCTTTTTGCTTGCCTTGCACCCATGTTCCAGAAAGGGTCTTGCTTCTCTCGACTGTGCCCATTGAGAAGCAATATAAAAAGGAATAGCTCTCATGTGCCCACAGGCCACTTTCATTTGGCACAGGGTGCCAAATGAAAACTCCTTCCCCATGCTTCGTTCTGCCACCTCCATCTTTTTTCTTTGTCACAAAAGTCCTCCTAACTTACAAAGTGTGGCGTTTGTTGACCACAGCCTGTTTTAGCATCTTCGTTTCTTTTTCGGTACGGGCTCGTTTGTGAACGAAAGGAAGGTTCTCCCTTTCATCTCTACGAGCGTCCTCCAGCCTTAAGCTCTCGAAACAGAGGAAAAACGGGTGTCTGCCAAGCACGAGGTTTGTAGTACGAGCATTGGTGGGAAAGGCCCATTTCTCCGCTTTTTTTTTTTAGGAAATCATAATGACGTGTGCGGCAAACCTTTCGTATGAGCACTTGAGGTATATACGATGAAATGCCACCTCCAATCTTCGAAAGTCCAAATAGTCCGTTCGACCGGAGTTTGTTAGAGCGGTATTTCACAGCATACTCCGTGAATCGTTTGTTTGGGTGAGTGTGGTGTGGGACAGTTGCGCCGCACATTTCTGTGACAAAACGAAGCTGGACCTCGGCCCCGTTTGGGCGTCGCGTGTCCCGGACGGACCCCGCCGACCCCCGCTCACCTGCAGGTTGCAGGAGAAGCCGTCGAGGCCCGGCATGAGCTCCGTGTTGCACATGGCAAAGCCCTCCGGCATGTGAGGCTCCCGCAGAAGGCTCACGGCATCCTCCGCGTCGTCCAGCTGCACCCGTCACGTCGAGAGTAACCAAACGGTGCCTAAGCCATCTTCCTAAGCGTTAGGAAATAGCACCGAGGACAGACGAGGACGAGAACACAGAGGCGGAACTAGCGTTGACTCACAACCGGCGGTTTAATGCACTTACTCAAGAAAAGGAAGCGGAAAAAATAATCGAGGGACGGACAAAACAGAAAGAAAAAAAGAAACATCAAAGCAAATGCGGTACAAAAAGACCATAAATAAAAGTGGAGTAGGAAGTGAAATTGAATCTTTCGGTTATTTCCCCTTGTTAAAGTGCCAGCTGAACGTTTAAAGACACACACACAGAGACAAACAAAAAAAGCAGACACACTGCTGGACTAGCAACTATTTTAATGAAATCTTCTTTCTCTTTAGTCTATACATTGCGCTAAACTTATTGCGCTAAACATATTGTGCTAACAAGCATGAACCAACTAGCTCAGCTTCAAGCCGTCACAGGTTATTTCGCCCCTTTTTTCTCGCGTAAGTGTATTCAATTGCCAGTCAGGAGTTAGCGCTAGACCTGCGTCCTTGTCTGTCTTTCACGCCATTTAACGTTCATAATGTGTCGCCCAGCTCAATATCTCGGTACACTTCCTAAGCATTTCACAAATTTCACGAAAAGAAACACCGCGGCTTTCCCGCCGGGCCTTCGCCGCCAGTTGGGTGACGAAAGGACGACGCCATATTCACCGACAAGATTAGAAAGTGAAGGGTGTGGGCGCTGCGTGTCTGCACAAACCGGACTCGTGCGAAAAGAGTCTGAGAACGCGCAGTGCCAATGGCACCGCCGCTGAAGTGGCGCGATATCTTAGGGTTGAGTCTGTGCACGTCCCATCCGGTGACCGAAAAATTTTTTTTGGGTATGCGGCGCCCCTTTAAGAGCGGCTACAATGGCTCGTTGTAGGTCGGTCGCAAACATTCCAACTCGACTCGACACTTCGCACAAAGCCGATCGACGCAAAATGCGTCTGGTGTTTGTGTCGACGTTTCCAGCACCCCAAAAGCCAAACGGGCCAGACCACATGCGGGATGGCACGAGAGGATCTGACGCCGTAAAACGGGCTGGAAAAGTTACCCCCTGCACAAAGAAAGTTGAAGCATTGACTGAATGTGCACTGAGCAGATCAGTTTCAGCACGAAATTTCGAGGCATAATTCTCTTCCTGTAAGAAATTAGAGCAACAAAGTTGCCAAAGTCGGTGTAGGGCGCATTCGCAAACGACCGAGTTATTGACATTATCGACTTGTGGCGCCATCTCCTGATAGGCAGAGCAAGCAGACGACCCGCGCTGCACTCTGCTCACTGCGCCTATTAAGAGATGGTGCCACAAGTTAATGGCGTCGCTACCTCGGTCTTTTGCAATTGCACCAGACACTAACTTCCACAAATTTGTTGTTCTTACTTCTTAAAGGACGATAAACATGCCTCGAAATTGTGCACGGTAAAACTGATCCACTCAGTTCACATTCGATTAATGTTTGAGCTTTCTATGTGAAAACGCAGATTTTTTCGGCTCGTTTTACGGCGGAAGATGCGTCCGTCCCACCGTACATACACGGATTCAAACAAATTGACGCAGACACACGACACATTCTGAATCAATCAGCATTATCCAAAACACCCAGATCAAATTTTTTGCTAACAGAAAAATGCTTACTCATGTTGTTTTTGCAGTAACGAGAAATGACATTGTGGCATTTCTTCCTAAAAGACAACAGATGGAAGGTAGAGGAAATAACCATTGGCTTCCATCCTATTTCCTTTATTTTGCCATAATAAATGCTACATTGGACCACTGCATTACCCAATGGTTCCCTGCAAATTATTTTGCTTGGGTGAGCTGTTCCTTCCATGTTTTCACAAAAATATTCCCAATCCAAATGCATCTCTGTGCAAAATTATGTGGAAAATTTTCGAGAAACCAATTCCTGGGTTCCCTTGAGAGGGCCAAGACACTGTCGGGTTAACCCTGTCTGCCACCTGAAGCCGCACAGAAAACGACGGCCCGTTATGGAGCAAAGCGGGGCTCTCGGCCCGAGCGCAAAGCAAACAGCAGAGAGACTCGGCTGGCAACGCTGGCACCTGGACAATGCAGGCGCCCCGCTTGGCAGGAAGGCCCCCGTCCCCGCCGTCCCGTTCGTCCTCGCTGGTGTCAGAGTCCTTCCCGTTGTGCTCCGAAACAAACTGGTCCTGCGCTCGAGCCAACACGAGCCCATCCATTCAAATCCGAGCCATCAAAAGTATGCACAAACGCACCGACCGCCCTCGTCAAACTAACTTTAAATTTGTCGTCGGCACGATTTTCGAAGTTTACTGGATGGCAGTGGAGGCGGCGTGCGGCCCACATACCCAGAAAAGGTATTTCTAGATGGCAGAGAAATGCGGTACTATCTCAAAGCAGTCGATTCAGTATACACTTTAAACTACCCGTTATTTTTCATTAACGATGACTTTACAGCCACAATTAAAAGGGGAATGGCGCAAAACAGAAGATGAGGAAGTAGGCCAGACAAACGACTGTCCTTGCCCCCTGCACCTTGAGCATTCTAAGTATCCCCCCAGCCGTCTCGTCAGAAGACATCATTGGGATCACTACATCCGTCTGGATATATTAAAGGTTCCACTTCAAGAATCAAAGCGCATCTGGGGTGTTCCATAACAATCTTTCTAGCCCCTGCATGAGCAAAACCCTGCATCGAGAGTCCCACCTACCTTGCGGCCCGAGATCAGCTTTGGCAGCGGGGAGGAAGGCAGTGGTAGGGCTGTGAGGCAGGCACCAGTACCGGTCTGAAAGAGTACCACATCTTTCAGCCCACACAACAGCCCCCTTCACGAACACTCTCGTGCAAGTCAGACTCGTATGTGGCGCCAGCGTGGCGCCGAGCCCGCGAACCGATCCTGCCACAGTTTGGACTGTATTGGGACCGCTGGAAGAGGAAGCCATTGGCTCTGCCCTTCCTCCTGTGTTATAAATGTGAATGCAGCCTACTTGCTCACAGTTAAAAACCAAACTTTAAAAAAGAAAAAGTTTTATTTTTATTGTATTTACACTGCCTCGAAGGCGTTATTATAGGGGATGATCGTACCATGTATTCGGACAGGCGCGAAAAGAAAATGTCACGCTCATCAATGCGCACGACCTGTTCCGGAAGGTTGTTCCACTCAGTGGACGTCCTAACAAATAACGAATTTGCGGAACAGTCTGTACTATGACATATGTCAACCTTTTTGGAGTTCCCGCAATGAGAAGAGGTATGGGAGAGTACAAAAAAGCGGGCTGTTTTATCAATTCAGGCATCGCAGGAATGTTTAAAGTGGGCAACACACGCAAAAAAGCTATCCGATCCGACGTGCCAACCATCGGAGAAACGGCCGCTCCGACTCGCCGCACACGACAGTTCGGGACACATTCTTTTAACGAGTCGTCCCGTTCCGTTTGGCTCCGCCCAGTTCCGGGTATTCCTCTACAGCAACGGTTCTCAACCACCGATGTTTCACAAACCCCTTGTGGATCAGGGAAGATGATGGAGTACCCTGTCCGTGGTGAGGGGAAGGGAAACGTTCGGGTTAATTATGATAATTTTTAAATGAATGGATATAAGTAAGGGCTGATTTGGAGTAGAGTTCTCTCACTGACATACACACAAGAAAATTCACCCGAAAATTGGAACGTTTCTTCTCAATCTAAAAAAAGACAACTTTTCTTGCTGGGCCTCACTGATGAGGCAGGGCTTCGCAGACCCCTCGAACGTCTTCGGAGACCCCGAAGGGTCCGCGGGGCCCACTTGACAACCACTGCTCTACCGAATGGATGGAGGGACGGTTATGGCCGTATTTATAACGGACGGTACCTCTCGCACCACCTAGCCTAAAAACCAAAAAGTATTGCTCCTTCCCTGGCCCTTCGTGGTTTTTTCGACTTTAAAACAAAACAAAATATTTTTATTATAGTCCACTAAAATCTGGATGTCCGAGGTCCCAGCGAAGTGAGCACCACGTATAATCCCGTGATTAGAAACCCGCACATTGCTGCGTCCCTCCCCAAGGTCACGTAACACTCGCACGGCTTCGAACGACTCGCAGCGTCCACCGCCGTCCATTGGAAACAGAGTGTATTCGGGTCTCGACGGTCTCAAAATTGGCAGCTCGCTTTTGTGCGCAGAAAGACTCCATGACGTCCATTGCCTTCACGACGACGACGACTCGTGGGGTAACGCACCGCTTACATCCCCCGGGTTCTCCTCTCCTGATCGGGCATATGGTCACGCGACGTTTGCGCCGTCCGTGCTGCCATTGGCTGCGGCCCTCCGACGGCCGGAACAGCGGTGCGGCGAATGTCTGGCAAGTTGGTCGTCCGCCCGAGCCGGACAGAGCTCCGTCTGACACTTCGGCGCGACCAAACCGGTCGTTCCGACGGTTTGCACGTTGGATTGGACTGTTTTTACGTGTACGTTTCTCGCGCTAAAAAAAAAAAAAATTTTCGTTTTTTTTTTTTTTTTTTTTTATTATTTCAAGGATTAGATCTAAAGAGATGGCTCACCCCCAAAAGGTGACCCACCCAAGATTCGGACTTCATTTTTCGTTCATTCGTGACATTTGCTGCCCCAAAACAATGCTTGTCCGATCAAAATCGCCTTGATTCCGGGACTGTCGTCGAAAAGTACTCCCCTCCAAAGAGGATAAAAACCGTGCCACAGTCGTCGTAAGGACAAACGGTTCCTATGGCAGGACAAAGGCAAAACTCGATTCACGGCGGTGGCCTAACATAAGAGCAGATGGGGTAACTCTATTTTATTTTATTTTTCCTAAAAACTTCAATTCAAAGTCTGCGGGTGAACGGTGCCGACAAAGGTTGAAAAATTAGAAAACCAGTCAAAAAGCATAGGAAATTTAAGTTGCCGCTATACATTAACTTTATGGCACGAGTGACGGTCCCGCGTAGAAGTTCAAATAAAAGAGCACAACCTAAATTTCGGCCGACGTCCGTAGACCAACTTTCCCATTCCGGTAATGTGTCTGTGACAAGCTGCGAGAATAGACTGCTAAGAAACCCACTTTCCCATTTCTTAGAAGACTTTGCAACTCCGGGATGGCTACGATATATTTTTACTTTTTTTACCACCCCCTTATTTCCGCTCACGTTGCTCGCAATTTTAAGTGGGCTATCGTTCGGAAGATTACGTTAAATTACGTCATTGTATGGAATGCACCGACAGAAATTTGGGGAAAAAATTGTGACTTATACACCCAAAAATACGCCGAGTCCATTTATTAAGCGAGACCAATTCACGCCACGGTCGACGGTGAACAGGACATAGGGAGACTGCTTCCCGCTGAGAAATGAAAGAAATGCAATGAAAGAAAAAGAAGACCCCATACCCGCGTTTTCAAAATAAGAAAGTTCATAATCAGTGCCTTGTCCTGTACGTATTTCTCTCCTCTGTGTCCTTGTGTTTTGCACTGTTTTTCACCATGAACGCTTACCAACTAGCCACACTGTCCATTCTTGTAAGTGTCATTCATTTGGAAATACTATTAACAATTGAATACACAAACTCATCTCTGTTACGTCATGGCACGGTGGTGGCGCATCGGGCGCACTTCCAATCTGGGGCGGTGGGCGGAAGTCACCATGCGGGACGTGCATTCCTGTGTTACTTTGGAAGAAGCCGGACAAACACCTGCCTTCTCGTCAAAACGCCACGACTGGGGCTGTACCAAAAGCTTTTTCTGCCTGCTCGGTTTGTCCGAGAATGTGAATAGTGGCCTTGAAAAAGGAAGAACAGACGCCGTCGGACCACGATCGCTTGGGAGGGAAGCACTATGGATTGAATTCACGGATACTTGTGATTGTCAGATTGATTTGTTTTGTTCCAACATGAACGCGGGAAAACCGTCAAATGGCACGAACCATCAACAGACTACGTTCAGTGCGTCACCACATTCAAACGGCCGCCTCATCGCTCGAGCTGTCGTCTGCTCTCTCAAACGTTTCTGCTTGTCGTCTGCTCGTCCAAACGACAGCGGCCCGTAGACCAAACATTGACCCGGTAATTGCAATAAGAAGTGCAGAACTCAAGAGACGTTTAAGTTTGAAGGTTGCTTCGGGTAAGCAGGCTCGCTGTAAACAGTAGATATAAGGAAATGTTGATAATTGTTACCAGTGGCCATCACCAACTTGTTATGCCTCATTCACTCAGTTCGATTCTGCTTGCGGTTTTCAGTATCGACGTCGACATCTCAGCTAAGGTTCAAGCTTTTGAGCCCGAGCGACAGCATGACTGAAAATAGCGAGCAGAACCTTACCATGTGAGTCAGGCTTTAGCATCCATTCTGCGGCGTCCACGCGGGATGAATCGCCGTATGTTACATTATTCGCGCTAAGTTTTGCGGTGTAACGAGCCTCGTTAATTTCACTGAGGCCGCTCAAGTAGAGAGGCATTGCCAGGAAGACATAGAATCAACAATTACAACGCAAAAAAAGAGCACGGGGACTCCCACCGACGCCGACAACATCCCATTCCAATGGTTTGTTTATGGGCGACGGCGAGCTTCTTGCCCACACCCCCATTGCGCATGCAAAGCGCCGGTGGCATCCGCTAGGGGGGGGTCCGGTTTGTTTGTAAACGTGAGTTGGTGTATACAAATCACCTATTAAAAATATTCGTCTCATATTTCTCGCATCTGTGTAGAGAACTTGTACTTGGCACAAGTTCTTTGTCCGTGTATGTCTGCCGGCGGCTGTAAGCATGTCTGGCAGTCTAGGCAAGTGTTAGACACGGGGCCGATCACTGCTAGTGCTTTTTTATGTACCTTAATTCTTTAGAAAGACAGAGACGTGCTTCTCTCATTCTCAGGCGCGTTTGAAAAATTGTTTTCTTTCCCTCTTTCGGATGGTGCTGTAACGCAACTGAAAAGCGTGTAGAATCTCCATAACCAAGACACGCTCAAGTGACTCTCGCTAGCTCTGCAACGCACGTGATCCAAAAGCACGCAGAATGTAGAAATCTAGAACACAGTTGCAAGGGGTGCAGCGAGAGTCCCTCTCGCTGACTCTGCAAGCACAATATAGAAGCGCAAGGTGTCTCGCCGAGCGTCTTCCTTCAACAATAAAGCTAAACAACAGCTTCCAGGCGTCCTCCGCCCCAACTCTGCCTCCGCCCCGCGCCGTCTTCTCGTGCCTGGCGTCTTACCCAGCCCCATCAGGTGGGACTTGATCAATGAGGCAAAAACTAACACAAGTCTTTAGAGGTAGTCCTTACTGCGGACGAAAGCAGCTTTTAATGCTCGACTGCAAACGGCGTGTCAAAGCCGTCTTTACAACTTGGGCTTCGTCCAACGGAGGTGCCAACCAAGTAAGCTCGGAATGCATCAACTGCCGCCACAGCCGCTCAGGCTGAAACCGACCTTGTAGCAGGTTCGTTATCGTCGTCGCTCTCGTTCGCAGGCTCTGCGAGCGAGTGATCTTGCAACCAACACCCGGTGCACAAGATGGATATATCGCGTGGCGTGCGATGCGGAGCAGCCAAGCTCTTTAAGCGCGGAGTTGCGTAACTTTTTCCCGGAGAGAGTCGCTCGGTGCCGGAGCGTGTTGCGAGAGAAGTCGGCAAACATGTTTTATTTACTCCTGGGATCTGGAACACTGTTTTATAACAATTTTCGCAAAAAATAATTTTGGCGCTTAGAGGTTTTCTTTGTTATATCCGCAGTGCTGTCTCCGCTTTCTTCGTTAAAAACTGGATAAAGTTACATTAAAAGTAGAGCAGCAGGAGCGTGCAACGAACATTTGCTAGTTATAACCGATATTTCGCTACACCCGGATTCGTTATAAGTTGGTCTGACTGTATCATAGAATGTACCCCACTAAATTTAATAATGGCTATATTATACATTCATTTTTTTTCTCATGCTTATAGCTACATATATATTGATAATGTTGCGTGCATAGTTAGCCAAGTCGCCTGCACGCTTGTCTCCAAGGCAGGTAACCAGGGTTCAGTGCCTGGCGCTGCTCTTTGTTTTTACCTTTATTTGCATTGCATCCTAGAGAAGAGTTGAGAATCTTGTCGGTTACTCGGGTACAGGGTCTTCGATGCCCTCATGCTCTAGACAAATTGTTCTAGTCTCCCATAAGGCTAGAAAAGAGACCCCGCCATGCTGCATGCAGTCAGTCTCGCTCTTACACTTTTACACCGCAATGATTTCTTGTTATCTTTTGTTTCCATTTAGTTTGGCCCAAGTTTGCCACATTAAACGTTTTAGTTTCCCTGATTATTCTTTGTGACCTCACCCCGTCATTCGTGACAATAATTATGAAGCAATTTACTTCTGCAATACTACAATGCTCCCAATTGATACAGTCTGTTTTGGTTTCCAGGCAAACAAGTATTTTGGTAAGGGCTCCTATTCTGCAAAATATATATTAAAAAAACCACCAACTATTGTGTCTGAAAGCCTAGAAAATTAATTTGAAAGAACAATGAGATTTCTTTTATCAAAACATGCACGTTTTGTTCAATAATTCTGTATCGTTACAGAAAATAAAATATATTATAGTGCAGAAACAGATATCCAATCGCTATATTTTTCCACCTCTCTACAAAGCCCTTCAGGGTTCTTTGTATCTTTTCTTTTTTGTGGATGGGGAGGCAGGGAGAATGTTAATTATTGCACTCGGTGGTTCCTATTAAAAAATAAATTACTGTCTCTAAAGTGACAAGCTGAAAGCTCAATATGAAAGTAAAGTGCTGAAAACATTAAAAAAAAATATAGGAGTTGAGAAATAAGAAACAAAGAACGTCTCTGTGCACGTCATGCCATTTTATTCACGTTTATGATGACCAATACTCAAACTTTTACCATATATTTTTTGCAGTTACAGAAGCAAAAATTTAGGAGTTTGCAAAAGAAGCTTACGTCACAAACTCACGATAGAAAAATCCGTGACGCGTGACACAACTGAAGCGTGACACAACTGACATTTCGAGCAACTAAAAAATTTTCAACAAAACTCCTTGCTCAAATTGAATAGTTTTAATAGAGCAGGAAAGTATATTGGTTTTGTCAATGCTTCTTGTGTCTCACCAATGAATTAAAGAAAGTAGGATATAAATTATGCGTGACACCACCCGACAAGCTAAAAAGGTAGTTCAATCGTTTCTACTTAGTCTTTGGCTTGTGAGAACTAAACTTTTTGCACGAAGTAAATATCAGATTTGATAAGGCCGTCATGAAAGGGGCTTCAATATGGTTACATACTGAATACCGTGGACAGAGGTGTTTATATTAATTTGTATCTTCTTGGTTACACCACTGACATTTCAGTCAGCTACAGCCGTTTTGTTATACAAATTATAATAATATAAATATTTTGGCAACATTAAACACTGTGGTCATTTTATAAACATTGACCGACATATTTCTACTTTTTTTTAAAAATATGTCTTAAGTTATTTTGCTAGAACTAAATTGAGAGGCTTTGAAATGCATGATAGTTAAAAGATACAGCCTACTTGCCATAATTACCCGTAGGAGGCATTCTAAAATCAATGCGCTTCAAACATAAGCCGACTAAAAATAATCAAAAATATTTCTTTTCATGAACCAACAGCATCGTGTTCTCCCAACAATAAATAAAAAATCATTGCAGCTAACAATTATTAAAGCCACAGATGAGTGACACCCTTTTCGGGAAAATGACCCATTTACTCGCGCAATGAACACACTTTTTTTTCTCAATAAATTGATGCATTAATGGGGAGTGCGTTTATCAGGGTGTCTAGCAAATTATTCTTCTCAAATTTCCCGATTTTTTCAGGTTTTCCCTGACAATTTCAGGTGAAATTGCCTGACCACTGTAGTAGAGGCGGTTAAATATACAAGACCATTACAACACAAGGCATTGAGCACTCTGAGGATCATTTTGCACGGGCTTCAATTGGGGGGGGGGGGGGGGGGGGGGGGGGTTGTGTGTATGTTTATACAGCCTAGAACTTGGTCTGCCTCACAGGGGCGACGAGTCTCCCAGCTGTAGATGAGCAATTTAGCCAGTGCAGTACAACCGCTAGCCTGGGGTCTTTAACGTGCACCACGCAGTAGTGATACACGACCGCACGCCGGTACGATGCTCATCCAGATCGAAACGGGCAGGGGTGGGGCTCGAACCCAGGATCCCTGGGTTCTGCAGCGCGAGCTTTCGCTCCACGTGCTCCGAGCTGGTGTGCGCTAGACCACTCGGCCATCGATCCCCCTACGGGCTTCATCCAACTTGCATATTCCAAAATATTCAGGTTTGTCTGGTCCGGATTAAATGAGCACTTTCTTGCCGCCGACATCGTCGGCGAGGAGGCCACTTCCCGAAACACGATGAAAACACGACGCTCAACCCCCACCACACGCGTCAATAACCAACTGGCAACATGGCCGCCAGATGCACTTTCGAATACTTTCGGCTTAAGGCTTGGATTGAATTGGGGTCTGCGGCTTTTCTATTCGTTACTAAACCTAGCAGCTCTAACTGGATCTAGCCTACTGTCGTGCCTTCAATCCAATCCAAGGCTTGGACTGGATTTATCGGTTGGTCTTTCTGCATCGGGTGGCATCGGGTAGCACACTCTATATCGGGTAAGCAGAACGTGCGCTTCGCTCTAAGCAGAATTGATTGCCTATTTTTCTGCCCCCAAGTCCTCAAGTCCTTGCTGCAGGACACTCGATGGCGTTTCCGGCTGATCTCCCTGACTGGGATTGCTTTTTGACAATATCCCTGACAATTCCCTGATATTTACCGGTAAATAAAATTTCCCTGACAATTCCCGGTTTTCCCGGTCGCTAGACGCCCCAGTTTATTATGCGGGGTAAAATTTTGTGCGTTTCCATATTTTGCGTAAATGTCATTTTTGGTGCCCATCTGACAGGACACAGTACTCTGGGACGTCTCCGCTGATGGACGGGCACCCACAGCTGGTCTTGGGTGCACCACAGCAACCACAAATTGCGAGCCTTTTTTGGGGCACCTTCGTCATTCTTTCTGCCAAAGAAAACGCCCTGTACGAAGGTCACTTGATACGGAGTGTGACGAGAGCGTTACTAGGCCTAACCACTTCCACGATTTCACTTTCCAAAGGTGGACCACGGATGACGGAGTGTTTGTTGACATCGATGCATCGAAGGCACGCAATGCCTCCAAGAAATTCTTTAACCCCAGCTTCGTTGGCTGTGTGCGCAGTTCAATTACACTGCCGACCACTTCCAGAATTTCCCCCTTGCATTCATAACATGCTCATGCGCCGCCATGCTTGGCTTGGCTTGGCTTGACCTGGGCATTTGGTGGCTTACTTGACTCGGTGGTTGATCGGGTTCTCGGACACAGTTCAAAACTCGTGGTGTCATTCATTACGAGCGGGGGAAAAAAATCGAAATATTGATGACCGTAGTAAAGGGTGCGTTCATTATGCGAGTAAATACAATACAGAGTATCAGAACATCGTAATTAGAAGCGTAGCATTATGAGTATGCACGCGTGTGTACCAATCTGTGTCGTGCGTCGTACGTGCTTTCTGACATTAAAACTGAAAAGAGGTGTGTTGCCTCAAACCTTGCCACAGAAAAACTTGACACGAGCAGTGCGGAGTAACAGCCATCAGTAATAATTTGCGCGCCACTGAAAGAAAAAAAAGGGCCACTTTGCGAGCCAGCTTAAATAAAATATTAACCACCCTCCAAAGGCAAAGCAAGCTCGCATTTGGGTTCCTCGACTTACGGCAATTCCGGCAATGACTCGCTCTCCGACAGACACTTGCACCTTGAGGCCAAAAATGACGTTCATGTTTTTCAGCTGTAAAAGAAAATCGGGATTATGCCCTGCAGTTGGAAGGGCCGCACGGAAGCTCCACGCGCAGACATAATCCAGTCGTTTACAAGGTGAGGACGGCTGGGAGCAGCTTCAGAGCCTCCAGCACGAGCGTCCTACCTTCCACAATGCTTCTCGCGTGCCTCCAGCGCGTAGCCAAAGCACGTCGGAAGTAACATATTAAGAGCTACAGGCAGGGAAAAAAAGAGAAGCACACAGGACGAGTGCTGAACTATAAACTCAACATTAATTGAAAAAAACGGCTCCAAGGACAAACCTCCTTAAAATCAAAGAATACCGCACTGCACAGGTCTTGCCATTACGTCACGCTTGAGAGCTTTCAAATGCAGGCCAAGAGACTTTTAAGAGCTCCATGTCCAATGTCAGTTTTGCTCGGTATATCTCAAACTCTCCTAAAAAATGTCAAGAGTGGATGTCAGGATCCTAAAGAAAAGCTTAAACAAAAACCTCGGAGGATTCCGCACTTACGTAGGATGTCGCACAATCTAAAAAAGTGGCAAACAGTTCTGATGTGCCGCCGTTGTTCTCAACGCCATGCAAGTTAGCGAAATTATGCCCGCGCGTAAATCGGGCAAATCAGGAAAACAACAGGCTTTCATGCGCTGTCAAACGCACAATCAAGTTTGTGGACTGCACAGTGGATTTCGTGTACAAAACCCTATTGTCATGCAGCTTCGTTCACATACGGCAATTGGGTCAATGACCGGAGGCCACTTGTACGTGCACCGTAGAGACTGCCTGTGTCAACCCATCTTCCAAGATGCACTCCTAACGAAATCCCTTTTTTCAAAGTATCGCTTGTATCGAAAGTCAACGTGGTCCCGACCGAAATGCACGCATCTTTAACTGTATAATTTGAAATGTAGTGGCGGCTGACCCCGCTTATTACGAAGGCCAAGGTGCCGAGAGCAGCCTACACAGAGGCGCGTGAAGAGCCTCTCCACCGAGGCAAATGGCAAACTGGGGAAACGGAGTAAACGAGTGACAGAGGGCAGAGCGCTGCTTCCGATGCCTATGTGCCGACGAAGGAAGATGGTCAGGAACCAGCGGCAACGTTCCCACGCTACTGTAAAATCCCGCGAGAACGCCCACCCAGAATGAAGAGATAAATGGTGAAAAACATGGGGTGGGCTATCTTTGGAGATGCCACAACAAAACTTTATAACGAAATTTAAAGATAAGCGTCGGTGCACACGCTATAAACCGCGTGACGCGGGAACTGATACCGCAGATTGAGGACAGGGAAAATTCGCGTTTCACGATGTGATAAACACGTGGGAATTTGCTACAAACTCCTGTGTCACAAGAAAGGATACCGCAGGTTGCAGACGCGGCAGATTCGCAACTCACCTTGCGAAGAACCCGCACAAACTCGCTGAGAACTCACATTGTTTGGATACAGCACATCGCGGATGCAGCAGATTCAGGTTTTATGGTGAAAAAAACACGCGGGGACCCGCTACAAACTTGCCTGTCACGGAAACTGATATCGCACACGCAAATTGTGGACAAAAACACAGGATTCTGATACAAACTCGCAAGTCATGGGAACAAATACCGCAGATCACGAATGCAGCAGAATCGCATTTCACGATGCAATATACACGTGGGAACAACTCGCGCGAGTTACAGCTAGAAATCACTAACGCGCGCACAGATCGTGGACAAAAACACGGGAATCTGCTACAAACTCGGGAACGAACACCACAGATTGCGAACGCAGCAGATTCAGATTTCACGATGCAATATACACGCAGGAACAACTCACGTGTTACAGGAGCTGATATCACGCGTACTGGTGCCGCAGATCACGCCGTTGATGCGCAATTCCCGCCAGACATAGCTTCACGTCCGACGGGAATCGGGGCAATGTTTCAGATTTTTATGTTAGAGATATTTAGCCAGAAAAACGGGATGGGTGATCTCTCGGGGGAAGGCGTCCTTACAAGATTTAACAGTACTCACAGTGCCCGTGGCCGACACTGCCCGACTCCTGTCAGAATCAAGTCGAGGGAGCGACGGAGCCCGGAGGAGATTAGCCCTTCGGAAGCCTCAGACGCGCGCGCCTGTGCGGGCGCACCTGCGGAGTACTTTATGCAGACGTGCATCGTACGGGAGATTGGGAGTGTTTACCAAAAGTCCCTTAGATCTGCAAGGTTGACAAAACTGGCCGGCTTAAGCTCGAAATCGCCAAGGAATTCGACATTTTGGCATCGGCTGTTCGACACTGTCCACCATTTTGCGGAACAAGCGAGGCATATTGGACAGGTTCGAGAAGTTTCTGATGCAGGAGAAAGCGTGCCAGCGACCCTAAGATGAAAGATTGCTAACTGCTTTGTGCCCGTCGGAATTTCTCTCCCGAGCATGCTTGCCGAGCCGGCGCACGATTTCCATAGCTGCAACAATCTCTACAAGAGTATCTGAAAACATGTCGGCAAAGCCACCGAGGATAACTTTGATTAGTTCGCGCTTGTCGATGCGGACGTTCCCGTTGTTGCTCTGGTCACGGATGCTGCGATCGTAGACCTCGCGTACGGCCAGGGTAAACACCGAGCGACGTCAAAGGGGCACCTCGACAAATGGCTAAAGCTGCGGAGATGCAAAAAATCTTACGGCTGTCTCGAAACAAAGTGGAATGCAGCGGCAGTGACAGTGTTCTTGTGCTATGCCTAGGGAAATTCAGGGAGATTCAATGTCAGGATGAAATTATAGGCAAGCTCCACTTAATTATTTTTTTACTTTTTACCGCAGTGTTCCCATCCACCTTCGAAACTGCTGGCACTGTTTTGTTTGGCTCTACAGTCCAATCTCGGTAGAGCGAGCACCACTTTAACAAACTTTTCAAATGAAAAAAACTTCTGAAAAATCCCATGCTGACTGCCTATGGTTGTAATGCAAAATTATTTCACCACAACATACTTCAGAATAACAAACATTTCAGAATAACGAGCAATATTTAGCTCCGCATCATGTTAACACCTCAGTACTACAAACTCGTATTCTGAAGTGCGGTAATTCTAAGGTTTCAGTGATTCTGACACGGCAGCCGGAGCGGCAGGCTAGCAGACGACACGGCGAGCGGACGCCTTGCAAGTTGCAACTTGCTCCGAGACGGCGCAAAAAGTAACAAAAGACACTTTTTTCTTTTTTTGAAACGACGATGGGTTTTATTAGCGCAGATGGCGCATAGCGCAGAGGCGAGGGTTCGGCAAGGGCGAGAGCGAGGCAGGGAGCACGTGCGCAAAAAATCTGAGAAAGAGAAAAAAAAAAAAAACGCTGAAGTAAACTTTTTTTTTGTTTTTTGTGGAGGAAGCGTGGCGAGAACATAACTCTTTTTGCGCTAACGATTTTCTTTTTCTTTTTTCGTTGACGGCTATTTTACGAAGCACGCCAGTCTAATATGGCACCGCACTGGCTGCGTCCCCAGCGACGCATCGGGTTTATCTTTGTCATCTTTGTTTCTCATTTTTGTGTGCTCTCAGCCTTTTCAAACGCGGCCTTTTTTCGGTTTATTGCGTCCACTAAGCAAGCTGGTCGTGCTGCAATGCTGCCACATCAGAAAAAGAAAAAAAGGTCTTTTGTTCTGCAGTTTGTGTGCATGCATCAAAAAAAAAAAATTGATTGCTTATTTTAAATAAATGTGCTTTGTCTGATGTTTACTTGTGCATCTTTGTGAAAAATGAGTTCAAGGACCCACCATTCTAAAGGTAGGACTTTTTAATAATTGGAAAATAAGTAATTATGGTTAATTTCGTGGTTTTCACTATAACGACCTTTCGGAATAACGAACAATTTTCCGCAGCCCCCTGAAGTTCGTTATACCGAGATTTCACTGTATCACTTTTATTGAATTACCGCTTATATAGAATATTTTTGCCATCCCGTTTACTTGGTTATAACGAGGGATTACTGTACCTTTTCATTGGCAGGGGACGTACAAAAGTGGAAAGAGAGGTGCTGGAGGCACATGCAATACAAAACGCAAGCACGAGGCACTGCGTAAGCCAGCCGTCAATTTGCCTACATAAAAAAAAAATGTTGAGCCCTTCCACCTCACGCGAAGATGGAGGACCAGCAAAGCTGTTATCTTTACGACGTCTCGGACGATGCCTAGCAGACGACGACATCTAGGACGACCTCTTGGACGACCTCAAGAAAGACGCCTAGAGGACGACATCTAGGACGACCTCAAGGATGACCTCGAGGACAACCCGAGGAACGACTTCCAGGATGGCCTCGAGGACGACGCCTAGGACGTCATCAGGAACGACGTCCAAGACAACCTCAAGGAAGACGTCTAAGACGACCTCGAGGACAAAGTCTAGGATGACCCCAAGGACCACTTCTAGGACGACTTCGAGGACATCTACGACGACTTCAAGGATGACTTCTAGGACGACCTCGAAAACAACCTCTCGGACGACGTTAGGACGACCTCAAGGACGACGTCTAGGCCAACTTCAAGGACAACTTCTGGGATGACCTCGAGGACGACTTTTAGGACGACGCCTAGAGAAATTCTGCCTTTCCGCTCTGGTGGAAACCAGAGTGGAAAGGTTGCCGCCATCTATAAGCGACAACGGCAACCAGAAAACCGGCAAGCCGGTCGTCTGGTTGCCGTCGTCGCTCATAGATGGCAGTAACAGTCCAGAGTTTTGTGTCGACATTTGTTTGCCTGCGGACACGATACTGGGGAAACTAGCCCTTAACAGCTTTGCAGTAAAAAGAGATTTTATCGATGCCTGCTGAGTGACATGTAATCGTTGTACGGTGATGTTTGATTTTAGAGTGATTTCTTGCTCGAGCTTTTTTTCACAGCGAAGCTGTTATGTGCTAGGGTCTGGGGAAAAATGTGTCCTCACATCTCGACAGAAAACTCCCGATTGGTTGTGGCAAGTATGAATAAATAAAAACAAAAATAGGGGTCAACTATGAATAAATAAAAACATAAAGAGAGGGCAACCAGCGTGAGTCAGTCTTCCTTGGCATTATTAGATAGTGAGTCCTGATCCCTTGTTATCATCTCTAAGCATCGTCCTCGAGGTCCTCTTTGAAGTCGTCCGAGAGGTCATCCTTTAGGCGGCGTCCTAGAAGTCGTCCTTGGGGTCGCCCCAGACGTCGTCGTCAAGGTCGTCCTAGGAGTCATCCTCGAGCTCGTCCTAGAAGTCGTCCTCAATGTCGTCCTAGACATCATCCTCTAGGTGTCGTCCTCAAAGTTGTCCAAGAAGTCGTCCTTGAGGTCGTCCTCAAAGTTGTCCTAGAAGTCATCCTTGAGGTCATCCTCTAGGTATCGTCCTTGAGGTTGTCCTAGAAGTCGTACTTGAGGTTGTCCGAGAGGTCATCCTAGACGTCGTCCAAGAAGTTGTCCGTGATGTTGTCCTAGAAGTCGTCCTTGAGGTCATCCTAGAAGTTGTCGTCCTTGAGCTCGTCCTAGAAGCCGTCCTTGAGGTCGTCCTAGACGTCATCCCCTAGATCGTCCTAGAAGTCGTCCTTGAGGTCGTGCCAGACGTTGTCCACTAGGCATCGTCCTAGAAGTCGTGAAGGTAACGGTCTTCCATTTTCACGTGAAGTGGAAGGAATCTATAATTCTTTTTCAATAAATATTCCGCTGATAGTTGTGCGCTCGTCCTGTGTGCTTCTCTTTTTGACCCAGTATTTTTTTGTGCGCCGTTTTTAATTTATGAAGTCAGGAACCCACTTTCCAGCATTGCTAGCTTAATTACCATGGGAAGGCACGGAGCACCTGCTGGAGGCGTTCCAAAGATGCATTCTGCCATTCTCACTTGGTCAGAGACTATACTTGCACCCTGATCTTTATCAGCAAAATAAAGAACAAGAACATTATTAACAAAAAACATTTTATTAATCTAGAAGTTACAAAGAGCATATTTTTTAAGTCCTTCACTTGGAAGTGCACATTCGTCGATTCAAACTTTCATATCTAGGCTGTTTGCAAGCATGTTTTCAAAAGCTTGATCCATTTTCTCCAAATTAATTTTTTTGTCGCAACACAAACTTTTACCCGTAGTACTTTTCCACCTAAAATCTAGATTGGATTACTTTTCTAAAGGAATAATATCTCTTAAATCAGAGTGTGCAATGAGACTAATCTCTGTGGAAAATGTTACCTTCAGATTTTTATAAAAGGCAAAGACTTTATGGACTCTTTTCAAATTATTGGCAAAATATTTATTTAAATTGCGGTAACCTTTTCAAGAATAATGCAAAAATTATAAGAATGGTTTCACTGCTCTCTCTACTATATACGCAGAACATGAAGACACACCTTGTGCCATAGTTTTCGATGGGTATATGTAAACAAAAAATGGGCAGGTTGATCCTGGACATTGTTAATATTTTTTTTTAAATATAATAGAAAAACAATGAGTTTATGTTAGTACTTAGCCCAAAAATTATAGTAGATGTGAGAAATTAATACAATCTGGATGAAAAATGACAAGAAAACCTTCAAGACCAAGGTCTCCTCTAAGCTTCACTTGCTCACAATCTATTGCATGTAAACAAGAAACATTTGTCGGGCCCTACTCTTGAGTGTAACAATAAAAGTTGTAACTTGCCAGTTAATTATTCATCAATCAATTAATGCTACATCCCTCTTTTAACATTGTGATGGGTCAAGGAAAACATTCAGCAAGAAGAAAACTCGACAGCTACAGGTCATTATACATCTTGAGACAACACTTATTAGACCACACTACCACAGCCAAATATATGGGCCTTCTAGAGCTAAATCTAAAGATGTACAAATTATAAAAAAATGTCTCAAGAGCTCTATGAAAACAATGTGTATTCTGCTATGGCGACAATATTTTGTTTATACGAAAGAGTTCAAATCAGCTACTTGTGTCCTCGGAAACAAAACAATACAGTCAAACACCTCTAAGGCCCACAGAAATAAATTAAATTACAGAGGAGTCAATACGAAGTTTCATCGGCCATACTCTATTTTAACAAGTGCCGATTGTTGGGCGAGTTGATATTGTACTGTGTGGTGTCCGTTTTTCCTTGTCTCTGTCTCGCTCTGTGGCGTCTGTTCTTCCTTGTCCCTGTCTTAAAGCGCAATCATGTTTTCTCTATTTTAAAGGGAGAAAAACTTCTATAATAAAACCCAATTTTCGTTTTGATACCCCAACTTTCACAAAAAGGAACGAGCCAAATTGCTCCTGGTTTCCAACCTCCACATGACCCCACAAGTGGATGGTCAAGTGAAGTGTCCAACGCCATAGCAAGAGCATCCTTCCAAAACCGACAAGTGCAAGGTTATCTCTTTGCGACGGATAATCCATTCGGTTCGGCTCGGCCGTTTGAGAAAAAAAGCGACCAACCTTGAGTTTGCTAAGAATCTGCCGGTGAAGTTCAAACTCCAGAAATGGAAGACTCTGCAAGAAAAATGGGACCAACATTTAAAAGTAGAGATTACAGTGCTGAAAAACAAAATATTTAGAAAAAGGGTGGTTCCATTTTAATTTGACGCAACTTGATTGGAACCTAACAGTTTTATCGAAATCAAGTCTCAAGTGCCACGCAGAGTATGCCAAACACTCATTTTGACTTTTTCACAACGGTCATTGTTTACAAAATGTTGATTTGAATCAAACGGCTAATAATTTCTTACTTAGCAAGGGCAAATATGGGTCATTTCTAGAAAGAACAACTTGGATTTAGCTTTTATTGCAACTGTTCATGAAATCCCAAACTTGCTAGTCCGAGCAATTTCGCCTCACACTCTGACCGTTGTAGGAAATTAAACGTTAAGAACCAGTCTATAATTAGGGTTCCGTCATTTTTGGTTTCTATTTTTCCAAAATTCGGCATACTTTTTTCAGTGTCCAATTTAAAATTCAATTTTCGTTTCTTTTTTTCGGCGCATATTTATGCCCACAAAAGTTTATCAGCTTTTTTTCGGTGAATTAAAATCAACACTAACGGACACCGGATCAGACGATTCTTGTAGCTCTGATATTTGTGATCACTCAAAGAATAACAGCACAGATGCATTGAAAAAGAAATGGACACTTTATTTGGCAAATCTGTGCAACTGTAAAAGAAACAAGAGAAAAAGACGGAAGTACGAACAAGCAAGATATGAAGCCTATGCCCAAAAAGCATGAAACTTCACCTTCTGTACATCGGTTTTATGTGATCTTATTATAGTACACACACATGTACTTTCCCAGGTTCTCCTCGTTGATCTGCACTCCTTCTTTCCTGTTAATATGACCCTGAGCTTCGAGAATGCCCTCTCCAAGCTAACACTGGACACTGGCGGGCTGAGGAGATGGAGCGCTGCCCGAGCCAAAATCGGCCAGTCAACCGATTGTAACCGCCAAAAGAGACACGGTACGACGTTTTGAAGCACAACATAACATGCAGAGCTTGCATCAAGTCAGTCTTCCTTACGAGATTGAAAACACACTCGTACATGGCGAAGTCATGGGGCGATTTGGACCTCAAGTTCCGATCGATGATGCGCACATTAAACCAAAAACGCCGTGATGGCACCCAAGTATCCCATACGTTCGGACACGTTTCGGTCGCCACTGTTGTTCCACTTTTTCGCCACGGCTCTGCGGTACGACTGGAAGGTCAAAGTTTTCTTTTCCAGTTAAAACTGAATTTTAGAAAATGAATTCGACATACTTTTATCGGTCTAAATGGGTTTAAGTCGAAAATGCTGAACCTAAAAACTGATCTTTTTCGACAAAAACCGAATTTCCGAAAACAAATTTGGCACACTTTTATCGGTGTAGATTGAAAACTCCGAACCCTATCTATAATATGAAACAATTATTACTGCATAACCACAAATACAAGCTATCTGATGGTATATTGTTTGTATCCCTAATAAGCCGCCTCGGTGGCTCCGAGGCGAGAGCATCGGCCTACGGATCCCCATGTGGCGGGTTTGAATCCCAGCCGAGGTGCCCGCAATCTGACGGAGGTTTATTGCAGAGAAGGCACCGTGGTAACCGAACTTTCGGTTGCACGTCAAAAGATCCCCAGGTGGTCGAAATTAATTCTCAGTCCTCCGCTGGGGCGTGCCAGATGCCCGTCGTTGGTTGGGCATGTAGAACCCCCAAATTTGACTTTGTATCCCTAGTACTTAAAAAACAAAAATATCTAAATATACATATATATCCCGAGAAATAGCCCACCTAAAATTGATAGCAAATAAGATGAAAATAAGGGGAAAGCTAACTTTCCATGTGCCATAAAAAAAAAGTTGAAAAAATGCTTGTTTTAGATTTCATAATCCTCGACTGTCCTTCCCAGTCACCAATATTCACTTATCTCCCGCTATGGTTAAGTAACACTGTTTTCGCCAAGGTGACCGTTGGCCAGGGTCCTGCTATTGGTAGAAGTGGGCTATCTTTCGGTGTTTCAGAAGTAGCAAATCATGCCAAAACCAGGGGGTGGCCTATCGGGGCTGTGGCATCTCTTAAGATATTAGGGTATTCCCAGACTTTGCAAAAGAACAAGAACTTCAAAATTTTTCATGTAAATGTTTTTAAAAAGTTTTTTTTTTGTATTGCTTGCTTATAAGAATGACGATTGCGGGACACAAATGTATGTTGACCTTTATTGTTTCTATTCTCGGAACAATCAGTAAAATAAGCCTCTTCGCCTCAGGAGTGGTGGCCTCACTGCGATGCTGCTGGTGGGCTTAAGAAAAGCAGATGTTGCCACCACGTCTCAGTCTACTCCACAATCCCAGGAGTAACCCCTTCTGTAATAAACCTCCCTTTCCCAGGAGTAAACTTGCATTACTGCAGGTTTACCCCCAAGCTTCACATTAAAGGCAGTGACAGCGCAAAAATGACGAGAGCTAGAGACACAAAGAAAGAAAAACGAGGCCTTCAGTGCCTTAGTTTTTCTCCTCTGTTGTCCCGGTTGTTTTGTGCTCTTGAGTACTAAAATAAATCACCGAGCCTCCATCTCATTTCAAGATACTGGTTGATTACGTGTAGCCAAGTATAGCAATAAATGGCTCTAAAAAAACATGTTTTCCAAAAAGTTTGATATTTTTTTGCACGATCGTCACTTTAAAGATTATCACAAACAGTAAGCGAAACTTTCCCGTTTCACTTTCTGGCATCACTGCCAAATCACAATTACAATCTGGCATCTCGTATCTTGCTCCGTCACACGCCTCGCCGCTCGCGCACCTTTGTTCCCAAGTTTCGTGTGCAGGGCTGCGACACACGTTTGCTCCACTTTTCAGATCTTTGGATGAAGTGACTCCAGGACTTCAGAAAAGCACGGTAAGCATGCAGCAACGGCAGCTAACGTTGGCGGCAGCAACCCTCAGGTACAGATTTTCGGATTCGGGTCCACCGGCGTCCCATTTGGGCCGAAATTTGGGCCGAAATTTCCGGTGTCCACGTTGCCGACAGAAATTGCGAGAGGCTAATTTCCATGAGGCTCGTTTGTAATTTCAGCTTGGGCGCACCTTGGCGAAATTAGGTTCTTATTTATATCTTTGTATCAGCGCGGCGCATGGAAAGGCATTAGGTGCACAGTGGCGCAACAGTTCCATCCCTGCAATGGGGCGTTTGGCTCGCATTGAGTTTGTCTATGTTCCCGTCATTTCGCTTCGAAAGGCTCTGCAGTTCTGCAGTGCACCTGGCCTCCCAAAGCGAACATTTTTACGGCGCGTTGTAATTGTGCTTCATAACATTCACCCACCTCGCTCGCGAATGCCATGTGAAAAAAATAACAAGAACAGTAGAGCTCGAATGACTGCATATTTGTGTAGATGGCTGAGCGTCTTGGTTTCTAATTTACGATAAGAAAAGGGGGACACTGAAGACAAACAGACAACACAGGCTTTCGACCTTCAACAAAACGTTCTGTTGAAAGTCAAAAGCCTGTGTTGTCTGCTTGTCTTCAATCCCCCTCTTTCCTTATCGTAAACTGCATATTTATTTTGTCAATTGGTTTAGTCCTTTCAGTCGCTTAACACCATACACTGATGGACACTGACAGAATATTCTATTGAGCCGTGACTCGCACGTGATGAAACGCTAGAACGCCGCTTTCATGGTCGAGTCTTCCGAGCATTGTTTTCAGACGGGGGTGGAATAGCAGGCGGACGAGGGCGAAAACGGATGCCGACATGCACCTTTCGTGTCCGTGCCTCACGGCATTGCAGACGACGATAGACAGCAGTGAAGTAGCAGATGATGCCGGAGGCTGCCGCGTGTCTGCTCGCACGACTATTGGGCAGTGTCAGGCGCCAGACTATACGCACCGGATGTCGCAACAGGGAGACACTAGGCTCGTTAGCATGTTTCGGCTAGCAGCCAAGGCAATCCAGTAGCCATAGGCGGGGCCACTGATCTGTGGGCAGGGCTTAGAGCGTGCCGTGATCTCCATCTAAATTGCCTCTAACAAAATAAATATTGTGCAATTTTTTTTTTTTTTCGTTGAAAAATTATTTTAGAAATGTGTTAAGAAAAGAAATTTAAGAGAATAAACACTGAAATTTAAGAAAAAAAGAAATCTTTTTTTCTTAAATTTCAGTGTTTCTTTAAGAAACAGTGAAGGCTAGCAGATTAAACTTGTTGCAGGTCTACTCACATCGCTAATTTCCCTGGCATTTTGTTCACCCTTGAGGTCCTTCTTGTTTCTACACACACTGAGGAAAAGAGAAATGGATCAATTCATTACTCAGAGCAGGTGACACGAGCGAGCGATGCAGGACAAATGCGAGTGATGAAGCCCCTTCAGTCCTGCAACTGGTAGCAGTTGCACCAGAATTTTTCTCAAAACACTAAATCAGGCAAATAAAAAAGGATAGACATTACAGAAAAGATGCAAGTGAGGAACTTTCAACATTGTAAAACCCGAGACTTAGGACAACAAAAGAAGAAAAAAATGGGATAACACAGATACAGACACACCTACCACAAAATCCCACATAAAGATGGAGCATTAAATAGTGACAACTACGAGGTTACACAAAAACGAAACTCACAAGACCCCACTATAAACTCGCACAATCTGGAAACCAACACTGCGGACATGCAAGCTCACATTACACGGCGCTCTTTCTGAACTTCATGAACGTCATCGTGAGTGATTTTTTCATTGAACGCAGAAAATAACTCTCAACGCGTAATCGCAACCTCTCAGAGTTGCAACTAGACGACTCGGAGAGGACTATGTGCGTCAACAGGTGGCGTGTACGGCAGCAACTGCAAACAGTAAAAACCATTATGCGGTCGAGCCTGATTCTGTCAAACCCGCATATTTAGAATTAATGTCTATTGAGAAGAGCAAAAATATCCCCCTTGAAAAACTTGTTAGAAGTATAAGAGCCTCGTGTGTCTCTTAGAGCCCCTAGTACCCGGAGTCTTGACACGTGAAACTGCTTGTTGCGCCCCTGGTAAGGTGGCTTTCCCCGAACACTGCCGTCACTGCTCCCGCGATCGGTTTGCCTGCACGAAGGCTGTCCCAGGGAACAGTGTGCCGCCAGTTTCGCCAACTTTTACCATGGGGCTGCAATGCCACACAGCCGACCGCAGAGAACATGCTCGCGTCTTGGCCGAGAATATTCCAGGCAAAAGGAGGCAGCGGGGAATAACGCCCAATTACTGCCCGAGCCAACCGGGAGACACGCACGGCCCCTGCTGCACAGAAGCAAAGACCACTCCACCCTCCACCTTGAAGTCATGTGACACGGCCACCATGGCCATGTTCTTACTGAATCTTACTCCAGGGTAAGGGTTTTGTACCTTGGCGTTCTAAAACCTACCCGCATCCAGCGCTCTTCAATCTGTTTTGTCACGCGACAAGACCTGCCAGAGTAACTTGGATCCATATGGGCAAGATTTGGAGCACAGCCCATTAGGTGGCTTCAACTCGTTTCTCTGCTCTCTCTTCCGCACCTTGAAGAGGGTGTTGTGTTCATGGTTTTCGCTGCGTTTCACCGCATTTCTTTCTCACTTTGTAAAGTGTCCTTCCATGCCATTGCGTGCCATCATCGTGTTGCCAACTTTCCCAGCTAATTTTGCAACGTGTCTCGATTACTTTCACAGTCGGCATACTAGATACGTGTGAGCAGGGAGGGGTCACAAGAATCAGCGTTAGCACTAATGCACATTCTTAATGTAGATGACACTAAGTCAGTGCGAGGGTCGATAGCACAATCACTTTTGACAACTCAAGTTTTTGTCGCGTGACGTCACGCCTAATCTCGCATCGCGTAACGTCCGACCAGAATCGAGGCAATGTTTCGAATTTTCTGTGTTTTTATGAAAAATGGGATGGGCGATCTCTCGGGGGCGGGCCTTCTCTCGGAAACTTACGGTATGTAATATCCAAATGTCTGTTGTAACGAGCTTATACTGCACGCATGTAGATTTCAATTGGAGCTAAAGGTAAAGGAAAGCTCCGGCGTTTTTTTTTTTTTTTTTTTTTTCAGCTATTCGACCTCAATCGGAGCAAAAAATAAAGGGGAGCTCCGGCGTTTTTTTTTTTTTTTTTCAGCTACCCAACTTAAACACATTTTGTAGGCATGTGCAAATAGTGAATCATGAGTTCAAAGTGAGTTCAAAGCGAACAGCGTTTTGGTTAAAATATTTTCTAATCTAATAATTTCTCTAAGCCCTTCACCACTGCACCGTGTTTAGAATACACCAGGTGCACTTGTGCACCATCCAGCTTTGAATGTGTTTTTCTCCTAAAAAGACCACTGGAATATTTGTTCTTTACGAAGTGTTCATTGCAGCGGGTTAGCCGTGTGGAGCGTACTTTTTACCAAACACCAGTGCACTGCAGAGAAGCAACAGCCGCTGATGCAAGTTCCATGGGTGCTGCTTCTCCACAGTGCGCCGGTGTTCGGTAAGAGGCATGCTCAACGGAGCTATCCTGCCGCAATCAACACTTCGAAAGGTACTACCATCGCAAACGCGTGCTTAGGAGAAAACCAAACTATTAAAGTGGGGTGGTGCATGTGCAAACCTGGTGTATTAAAAAAGAAACATAATCATAAACAAAGAAACTGTTGGAGGGAATAGACCCTTTCCAAAGTTCAGTCTGGTTACTTCTTTAACTATCATAGCCTAAGCATATATTATTTGTACATGATAATGGCTGCCTTCTGACAGCTGATGAAGGAAGAATTTGAAGACAGGCACCAATGCAAAGCCTGAATATTCCAGACGTTCATCCGCTGCAGTGTTTGATGTCAGCGTGTCGAGACTTATAAACTTCCGTGCACTACGCATTTGAGGGTGTCAAGGAAATCCTTGAAATGTTCAGCTTTGGAACACTACAAATAGCTCATGACAATAAAATGTGGCGAATACTAATAAGAGGTTTACTCAAGTAAGTGCATCGTACAGAGTGATAGTTTCTTGACACCATTAAAACTGTAATGAATAAAGAAATAATGCTACAGAGAAGAACACTGCAACTTTCATACGTCTGCCACTGATGAATAGATACTAGATTTTAACCGCCATTAGCACAGAAAGATTAAGACCGATATTTGAGACACTAGATGGCACTGAATTTCTGATAGGGTCCATTCCACGGAACCTCACTTGAGTTTGATTGGGTGGGCATTCATTGGAGATTTTATGCTACTTACAATTTACAGTAATTTGAATTTTTGTAAATTGTGACTCGAGGTAATTAAAAAAATAAATCGAGCAAATATATTGGGTAAAATAACTCAGCATGGGGTTCCAACATTTTAAAAGGTGAGAAAGAGTTTACCCTTCATCGGAAAAATTTCATCCACAAAGCAAAGTAAAAAAGTGTACAATTTGGCAAATGTTTAAAATTCATCTACGGTGCTTAGAGATCTGCTGCTTCAGAACCGATGTCCTACTGCAACTAGAACCTGTCCCAGCGGCCACTAGATGGACGCGTGTTTAGACGACAGTTAAAGACACTGCCTGGGTAGTGATGAAAAGGGTTCAGCAGCACACATTCGGCCATTCAGCCATGCTGCATTCCATCTCGAGGGGGTAGAAACTAACCGTGCCTGGATCAGACAGCTCTTTCCCGTCACCGGCATCCCAGGGGGTGGCTCTATCGTCATGAAGAGTATGTCTGGAACTTTGGAACGTCTGCAACAGTTGTTATACGTTCGGTTAGCATACCAACCACGTGTGCGCATCGAAATGCCGTAAAAGGTGCATTGCAACGTCAGTTCATAGGACTTTGCTTTATTTGTCCCCAGAGTGCTTATGCTATGTTGAAAAAAACTCGGCTGCCTCGATACTTTTGTAGTGGCACGCTACAGGGAGTAAAGGAGATGAAGACCACCAGCACGAGAAAACACCATCACTCGCACGCGGGGGCTCGAGATGACAAGGCAAAGGGCTATGCAGTCCACATTCCACGACCTTGAGATTTTGGCTCTTCCGTAATTATTGTAAATATACAATTTGTTAGCAAATCTTTCTTTCCTCACACTATGCCTTTAGTCTGCACTAGGAGTGACCCAACTCATAATTTTGGTTAATGAGCGAGATTGTAATTATGGTGCCACAATGTGAATGCCAAGTCTGGAACGGTACACACAAGCTGTAGTGCAAATGCACACTTTTGTAGTTTCAATGAGTGACCCTATGTCGTCACTCGAAAACACCGACTAAAGTAACAAAGACATATAGTCAGTTCTCAATAATTTGAACCTCATTATGACTACAAAATAGTTTGAACTGAAAAATACATTTTTTCTTTGAATTAGGCTACTCGCCTGAAAAGAAAATTTATCGTTTGTTGCTTCTGATGCATGACATTACTTTTGGCCTCATTATTCTAATGAAACATGCACAAAAACGTTCAGGTTCACTGTGGTACTACAACACTATGTTCTGTGCATGCTCTGCCCACCCAGTGGCTCGAGCACGAAATACAATCAGTGACTGGAAGTGGCGGGAGCTCATGGGCCGTCTCTTCTGCAACATGTGTCTTCCCATTCTGCTTAGAAGTTTAACCATTTTACTCAAAATATGTCATCAAAATTTAAAGTCATACAATAAGGAAAAACTCAAAAATGGAACTCAAAACACCTTACGCCGAAACAAAAATACAAGGGCCAATCGACCATGAAATGAGATTCGGGAGGACCACAATTCGCGTCTCTTAGAACAGATAGCCTTAAACGGAGTTTTTCTTTAGTGTAGTCAATATTTCTTTAATAGGATGCTCCCCAGCACTAACACTGCACGTCACTCCTGAAGATGCAGACGCAAATCATTTTACCTTCATTTCCAACCCCTTCACGCTTTCGGACAGTGTGGCAATTTTGTGATCCAAGCGAAATAAGCAACAATAAACCGTCAAGACGTCGTTCGGCCGAGCTAGTCAGTAGCGCAAGCCGCCGCCCCATCAAAAGAGCTCCGCCGTTCGCATCCATGCATCCATCCACTCATTCGACCCTACCGAATGCACTTCAGGCATCCCTCACCCGGTGGCATTTTAAGTGGAAAAAGTCCATCGCTATAGCCGCAAACTACAAAAGGTTTTAACAAAGCGACTGCAAATATCAATTATATCGTATAGCTTCATGGCCAGTAATTCCGTCATTTTCTGAACATTTTACGGCGTTCCCTCATGTAATGCAAGTTACACGAACGGTGTACAGTGAAACCCGTTTAGAATGAACCCACGTACAGCGAATTATTGGATATCAAACTCACGGAAAATTTAAATAAAAATGCATGTAAAAAGTATGTTTTATAACGAACAACACATTGTCTATATCGAACTTTTTCTCCCCGGGAAGGCTTCCAAAAACGCGAAAAAAATTGTCTTCTAGCCCTCTCCCGTTCCCAAAAATAAAGTAGGAAAGAAAGAAAATACCAAAAGCTCTGTGTGGCAAACAAAATTGAGCGAAGAGAAGTGAGTCAGAAGGGGAGAAAGCTAAAAAAAATGCACTCAGCACGCACGTATAGAAAAAAACATCATCCCAAGCGGTTGCCCACGAAGAGAAACAATTCAGAAAAGGAGATAAGCTAAAAAATAAGAAAAAACTGCGCAGGCACGCAAAAAAAAAAAACATTTTAGCACGCTGTTACAAGGCGAAAGTTAAGAGATGAAAAAGAAAGAAAAGCTCTCGCCTTACAACGAACTCATTGAGGAAGTTCGTTGCAAATGCTTCTTTGCTATATCGAACTACTTCCTATATCGAACTGATCGTAGAGTTTCCTGCTGTTTGTTATAAACGGGTTTGACTGTAGTGACTAAGACCAGACGAATGAGATGGTACTTGGAAGGCAAAAAGGCGCGAGCCGAAAGGCCTCCATGCACTCACCTGCACATCGCACACTTGATGAGCTGAGCCTGGAACGGAACGCTCACTTCGCTGTAGGGGATGTGACACAGCTTGCAGTCTTGCTTGCTCAAAGGCTCATCCACACTGCAAAGGAAAGGGACACTTTTCCTAACCATACTCACCTAAGGATTGCTCCAACAAAAGAACCGGTGTAATGAAGAAAAAACTACGAGCACCGTATATCGAGTCTGACAGAGCGGCGCATTTTAGACCACCACCAGCTTTTTAAGGGTTATATAACACCCTCGAGCACTGAGGAGTAATCTTTGAGTAAAGAATAGTGAGTTTGGTGCTGCTTTCATGGCTGTGCCCCAGAGGCTGCGTGACTCTGAGCTGTGGCATCGAAGCTGGGAGTGCAACAGCGAGAGACACAAACCTGCCATTCGTTTCCCCCTGGCTTTGGCGGGGCTTCTTTTCGGAACTGTTTGCGTCGAGGCATAAAACGATAAAATGCATGCCGAGTTCCTCCGCATAGCATCACTGAAAAGCAGCACACAACGCATGCTGCATTACCTTTGCCACGAAAGTGAATGAGAGGGGCAAGTTTGTTGCATCCTTCTCCACAGAAGGATGCAACAACAAACAAACGGAAAGGAATGAGTGGCAGTTCCTTTCCCTTCCACCATTTTTACCATAATAACCTAGAGGAAAAAGTCCCACGTACCCTCCAGAATCAAAGTGGGTGGTCTTGACGGGCCTAAATCATCGGCGACATCTTAATATATGCAAAGAAGTGGAAAAACATCACCTGTAAGGTCTGTGCCTAGTTCGTTTCTAGCTTACTTTGCGAGAAAACACCGGCATCGCGCATTGCATTCCAATTCGACGAAACGGACACGCCAAACCTTTCGTCTGCTTTCCTTTTCCGCCCTTTCATCATTCTATTTCTCTTTCTTTCTCTGGGGACCGCCGACGTCCCGCCGCGTTCTGCTCCCGTCTTTACCTGTCTGCGGACACCTTGCCGGAGCCCGGGTCGGGGGCCCTCTTGTCCGCGTGCCTCGCCCCGGACGACAGCTCCCGGTCTGCCACAGGGTTCAGGAGCACCGCCGTGCCGCTCGCAGACAGGATCGCCACCTCGTCGCTGCGCACGGGGGTCTCTCTCGCTTGGCCCGTTCCAACTCCCGTCTCCTCATCCATACTCTGCTCTCTGCCTTTCCCCGTAGTAACCTCCGTTCCCTCTGCTCACACCTGTTGGCACGGGCACCTCTATTCCCCGCAATAACCAGACAACCAAACATTTTCTCTATACGAGTGCAAGTTTGTCTGCATCTTGCACACCTTGCGCTTTCATTTACCCCCGACCTCAACCAATGACTCTGCTGTCGAGTCGTCGCGCACTCCCCGCACATTCTCGAGGCCACACTTTGACTGGTGCACCCTTCCTCGCATTCCGATGTGCCCCAGACGCATTTTGGAGCGCCCCCTCGCCGTATAAAGCGGGTCTCCCTATCGACGAAACGCAACCATACCAAGCGCTTTTCCGTCCAAATAAGGAGCGAGGGACCGAAAAACTGCCCTGGGTCCTCGTGACCCTCAAAATTAAAGGGACACCCTACCCCTAACAACATTTCTTTAAGTGCCCAGATAGGACGTGCAAGTCGCAAAATAAGCTTTCCCCACTAAATAAAATTCCTAGCGCAATACCTATGTCGAGAGAGTCGTTTTGAGAGCACAGTGATTTCGAGACGTGCTTCTATTTAAAAACGTCGACCCAGAAATAGAAGCACGTTTTCGATTGGCTTCATTGGTCTCATGGCGCAAATTTCTTTCAAACATTCGTATAAACCATTTCTTCTTCTAAAAAGCAGCTTACTGGCTACATTTTAATGTGTCTTAACTCTTTCCTGACCACGGGAAAAGTAGCCTTTTTCCAAGGATTTGTGCAACTGTTTTTATTTTCCTAACTGATTTGCGTATGGGGCAATATGACACATCAAAATGTGGCCAATCAGTTGTTCTTTCAAAACAAACTGAGGTTGGTATAATGTTAGAAAAAGATTTTAAAATTTGATTTCTTGAAAATACAATGTACATGAGAAAGGCGTATAAACGCCGACACTTTTACAGCTATTCAAATTTAACGACAAATAAAAGAAAAATTAGGAATATACAAAATGTGCCCCACACCCATGGCTATTACTTCTCAAAGTTAGTGTTTTCTAACTAACATTGTCTACTTTTGGTTTGCCAGAGAGTTCGCCTCCTTAACACGTGCGCTTCTTACCAAAAGAACGCTTATATAGTAAACTCTCACTTGAGCAAACTTCAAGGAATCCGAGGAAATAGTTCACATACATTGAGTCAAAAATGTGAAATGCAATTTATGGAGCCATGTACATCGATATAGACAATGTGCATAACAGTTATGTTGCTGCCTTTCTCATTTTGAAAACAAAATCTAATTTTCATTTGCACCTGCGCTTTAAAAGTGCTTGAAGTAACAGAGCTGACCAGAGTCTATGTTTTCTTGCACTTTCGGGCACAGCTTGTTGCTGTGACGAAGTCATACTGCAACGGCATCGTCCACTGGCTCAAAATACCCTGTGCACAGTCGTTTCAGTTTCTTTCAAAACGACCCAGGGATGCATGTCCTGCATTGCGACTTCTGGCCACAGCCCCAGACTGGAAGTGCACTCGGCGAGCCACCACCGCACCGTGACGGAGCAGAGTTGTATAAGAGCGGCCAACGTACCAGATGTTGGTTGTTTCAATGTATCCCAGCACCACGTTGCAGCTGAGGGAACGGGTGTGGGAACGGATCTCCTTCCTCAGTTCCGTCCACCAGGCATCCCTCGTTTCCGGTTCATCTGCAAGCCACGACGCCCTCTAAAATGACCCCACTCTTGTGTTGGCAATTGGAGATTCCAGTCATACTTTCTCGTTACGTGCGCGCAATGGGCAGGAAGCGAAAGGTCGCTGCCGATTAAGTCGAGAAATATGTTTCACTCCAGCGCCTCGCACATATCTCTTTCTATGGTCGTCGCAGCCTTTACTGTTCGCAAATTTTGCCACACGCAAGTTGGCAGATCTAATAGGAAGGGAGATCTCTGCATTGCTGAGTACCAGAATCCTAATCGGCACACCAAGCTGAAAGCACTCATCTCGAGAAAGGCGACAAATTCATTAATGTTGCGGAAGGCTCAGCTTTGATTGCGCCGCCGAAGAAACTTGCATGCACAAACTGAAACCATCAGGAAGAAGGGAACGAGTGTTTCTTTGTGTTCCTCTCAATCTGCGCATACAAGCGTCTTCAGCATTGTGCGCCAACTGGCCGCACGAGCCTCGTTAAACTCCTCTCGTGCTGTCTACAAAAATGCCGTTCCCACATTTATGCTGACTGCTGTTCTCTACCCAGGCCAATGACACTAAACATCAGAAAGACTGATCACCTTACTCCTACGTAAGGTGATCAGTCTTTCACCCTTGTACACGGTTTCAAACCAAAACTAAGCGGACTTATGCCTCATCGGAGGCTTCACTTACGATGAGGCATAGCAAGAGCCGAAACATTACTGCTAAAAATTGTCCTAAACTATTAAAGAAAAAAAGATTGAGGCCAAAATTGTGCGGGCCTAATCAGCTCTTCACCTGGGTTGTTGATCTGGTCGAGCAACTTGACAGACCTTGCAGAAACGACGCCACCAATGCTCCGTATAAATCCGTGCGGGAACTGCTTCATGGTGATGAAGGGGTACTCCTGCGTCGGCAGTCAAAGAGAAAGCAAGACGCTTTCACTCCTTGGCTCGCGCGGACGCCCCACACTACAGGCAGAGCTACCGAAGTTACTCTAAAAACTTTCCACTCTGGCGGAGAAGGAAGACCAGCGAAGCTGTACTTCCTCAGGGAACCGGCTTGCCAGTTGCCTGGTTGGCACCATCTATGAAAGACGGCGCAAAACAGACAACCGGCAAGCTGGTTATCCGGTTGCCGTTGTCACTCATAGATGGCGATAGCTGTCCAGAGTTTTGTGACATTTGTTTGCTGGCGGACACGATACTGGGGAAACTAGCCCTTAACAGCTTAGCTGTAAAAAATTCGCCCCCTTCCCACACTGTCGTGGCAAAGGCAAGTCCCTTTATTCAAATTTTCGGTTAGTTTAAAGGGGGGTGTGGTCCCGGCCATCGTATGTACGAGTCTATGGGAAAAAATGTGTGGTAATTCGAAGTTTATAACCTTTGGGATTTCTTAATTTGAACAACTTTTTGCGCATTGGAGAAATCTGGTAACTTCACGGAAGTCCGAAAAAGCCTCGCTATTCTGCCGACCAAGCTTACATCGCACGCGCGCACACTTTATTGTTTTTATCTACCGTGGCTGCGGTTGAGAAAAAAAGGGAACGAGCGTACCGCGCAACTAAGCCGCCAGGCAGCCAAGTTGGTTAAGCGGCCAAGCCAGTTCTGCAGTCAAACTGAGCCAAGCCAAGCCAGCATGGCCGCCGGCACACGCATCACGAAGTCGTCCTCCCAAAAATTACAAAAGCCAGCACAGCCGTGCGCCACGTACGGCCGACAAAGCTCGGTTCGAGGCATTGGCCAGCCAGCACTGCACTATGTTTTGGCTACCAAATATATTTATTTATCAAATATAAACGGTGAGGTTGCGCAGGCAGTTAGGCCTAGGAGCAATCAAGTGCCGAGTTACCGAGTGCTGCTTGCAGAAACCGCATAGCACTTTTTTAAATTTTCTTTGCCAAAGAAACTGCCGAAGGTACCCTGAGAAAGCTTCGTAAATTGCAGAACACGGTTAATACCGTGCATCTCCATTAATGAAGGCAAGCAAAAGTCAACGACTTCTCCCGGGAAAAATGAATGAAATGAAAAAAAGACCTTTGCGGTTTGAGCGCATTCTTTTTTTTTTAATTTGCAGTTGGCTTAGTTGGAAGTCTTTCACTGCCCCCGTGAGCTTCCAATTCTTGAAAGTTGTCTGTGCGTTGCTGTCTGGTGACATCGGACGGTTGTGCCTCGACAGCATCGCAGTGCGTGGCATTTTCGAGGCCCTCCCAAAGCTAGTGGAGAAAGGGAATGCGACGTCAGTCTCTCCCACGGTCACGCACCCCAGCTTGGACTCCGCTATACCGTCCCAAGCACACGAGTGTTCTCTTCCCCCCGCACACTCTCGCGCCGTACGCACAAGCGCACTCGCTCGACGACTCCTACATGCTCCCAGGATTGTTGCTTTCCGCCTGGCTCTGGCTGTACTTGCAACCAGCTGTTGCCAAAGGCAGAATGCCCCCGCTTGAGGTGAACCATCTTTTCCAGCCTGTCACAGACTACCGTAAAATCTCTTAACCTCTTGGCTGCTAAGAGCAAGCGTCACCCGAGCCACCCATTACGGACCACAAAGGCCGACCATGAGTGTGACTCACATTTCCGTTTCGGCGCTTGTTTAGCGCACTTTCTGGCAGATGGCAAAATTAGCCTCTTTGCTTCATTTAACTTTGGCATTGCTTCGTTTGTTTTGCTGTTTTACAGAGACAGAACGCTCCATTTAACCGGAAAAAAAGTGGTCGCTCGCAAGTGTTCACATTAGAACCACGGGACTTCGGCGTTTGCACGTTAGCGGAACTCTGACCAAAAGTCGTGATCTACAGCAAGATATGACCCCCGGATGTCGAAACAATGTTTTCGTCTTATTTTAATGCAAACTCCCCTTTTAAAATAAAATTTTGCTGTGTGTTTCTCGAAGTAAAAAATGGGTATGCGAGGAATTAAAGAGGTCAGGACATGCCAAAAATAATATATGAGGTAACTAGCAGGATTATAGGAACATTGTATGTTCCTATAATCCTGCTAAATTTCTTTCGAAAATAAAGCGATAGTTTTGGGTATACATCGATTTAAATGCGGGACCCTCAGATCCGCCCATTCGTAAAGGGCGCCAGGTTGGCGGGTCGGTGACGTCGTCTGCCTACCAGGCGGCGTCCCCTTTGTACGCACTCGCGGAATTGGCTCTTTCGGCTCTTTTCGTTTGAGCTTCCTCGTTTCGAGCATGCAGTCCATGACAATTACATCTACTGCATCGCTTACTTCGTCCAAGTCTTCGACACTGACTGCAGTGGCGATGAGAGTGATTGTTATCGAAAGACGTTGGAAGCCGGTCATTTTTACAAAGACCCGCCGGCAACCAGCTCCAGCGACCACTCACGGACAAACTCGCCGTGGCCGCCGTTGTCCGTGACAGTCTCACAGGTGCATGCATGCAGAGGGTGGAAGGTCAAAAGACCAGGGGCGAGGGCGAGAATACCGTTGGGATTGCCAAGTTTTGCGAGCGGTTTTGATTCGCCGAAGCAAACTTGGGCAATCGTGGAGGTGCTTAGAATAAGAAAGCGTTCCCGATAGCGTGGTTTATGGGCACTATGGTGCGACTAACTTGGGCGGTGTTGCCTGGTCGTGAGATGAAAATGGTCAAACTTCCTAACTCGATTATTGCAATTACTAAAGCTTTAGAAATTGCCAAACTCGGTGTATATAATTTACCCGTTTAATTTTCGTTTCCAAACCCCTTTGAGAGCACCCACCCAAAATGAAGAGATAAATGATAAAAAACATGAGCTGGGCCATCTTTAGGGATGAGACGGCAAACTTTATAAAAAAATATATATACGGTTGCACCCGCTACAAACCACAAGACGTGGGCACTGATACAGCAGATTGTGGACGCGACAAATTTGCGCATCAAGACGCAATAAACAAGTGGAAATTTGTTACAAACTCCCATGTCACGGGAAGAAACGCCGCAGATTGCAGATGTAGTAGATTTGCATTTCACTGAGCAAGAAACACGAGGAAACTTGGTACAGTATAGACCACTTACAACGTAACCGCTTATAGTGCAGGACCGGGTATAGCGCGGTTTTTTTAAACCACCGGTTCGTCTCCCATAGAACTCTATGTAATTACATACCGCTTAAAATGCAGGCGCGCGAAGGGAAATACCGGTTATAGTGCGGTTTCTGGCACAGCCCGCCGGCCGCGCCGACGACCAGAGCAGCGAGCGCGCTTCCCTGTGCGACACTAGATAACGGCGCTGACGGCGCGAGCAGCAAGCGACACTCGCGTGGCAGTTGCTCCACAGCCGAGTTGCTCGAAGAAGCGAAAGGCTTCAGTTGCCATAGCGACGGAGGGACGCACGCACGTGTCGTTCACGTGCGTGCGTCCCTCCGCTGCATTGGAAACAAACAACCGCAGCGACAGACCAATCGCAGGTCGAGGAGAAGTGTTGCGCGCGTTACATGCCGGTCGCGGGCTGGCTGCTTCTATCCGCAAGCACGGCGTCGGTTGTGATCGTCGTCGTAGACGGCGTTCATCTCATCGTTCCGCGTAAAAGCGCTATCCTTGACTGTGAATTTTCGTTGTGTGTCGCTATGATAACCCAGCACATACTAGAAAGGAAGATCCACCTACTCGTGCGGCGATGTCGTGGCGGCGCTCTCAAGACGGCAGAAACGCCTGTGTCGTCGTGTTTGTTTACTTCGACTACAGTGGTGATTTCTAAGCATTTGTGTCCTCGAACATCGCCCGGATTTCTTATTTGGCGCATTTCATGCGTGCGCTCAAGTTCAAGGTATTACTGGCGCGTACCGTGTGAAGGATGCGAATTTTCACGCGTTTTCACCTCCGGAGAAAAGTGATTAGGGTTAGCAATCCTGAACGCTCTCAACGTCCGTCCGCAACCCGCGACGCCGTTAAAAGGCTGCGCCAGGCAAAAGCTGCTCATTTCTTTCAAAATGTGTAACACACTTGAGACAGAACTGTACTAGTCAGGTGAAATAAAGACTTACCTCAAACTAAGCTTTATTTTTCATCTAACATAAAATAAATTCTTTTCACAAGTGTAAGTTGTCTCATGGCATGTATTTTGGCCTGAAAAATTGATGTTTTGGTTATAGTGCGGTACCGCTTATAGTGCGGATTTTCGCAACTCCCGCGACATACGTTATATGCGGTTTACACTGTACAGTGTAGACCGCATATAACGTATGTTGCGGGAGTCGCGAAAATCCGCACTATAAGCGGTACCGCGTTATAACCAAAACATCAATTTTTCAGGCCAAAATACATGCCATCAGACAACTTTCCTTTGTAAAAGAATTTATTTTATGTTAGGTGAAAAAGAAAGCTTAGTTTTAGGAAAGTCTTTATTTCACCAGACTAGTACACTTCTCTCTCAAGTGTATCACACATTTTGAAAAATATGAGCGACTTTTGCCTGGCGCAGCCTTTAACGGCGTCGCGGGTTGCGGACGGACGTTGCTAGCGTTCAGGATTGCTAACCCTAATCAATTTTCTCCGGCGATGAAAACGCGTGAAAATTCACATCCTTTATATGGTACGCGCCAGTAATACCTTCAAATTTAGCACAGGCATGAAATGCTCCAAATAAGAAATCCGGGCGATGTTCGAAAACACAAATGCAAAAGTCACCACTGTAGTCGAAGTAGACGAACACGACGACACGAGCGTTTCTGCCGTCACGAGATCGCCGCACGAGTAGGTGGATCTTCCCTTCTAGTACGTGCTGGGTTATCATAGCGACACACAGCGAAAATTCAGTCAAGGATAGCGCTTTTACGCGGAACGATTTACGCGGAACGAACCACGCCGTCTACGTCGACCATGACGTCGACGATCCCAACCGACGCCATGTTTGCGGATAGAAGTAGCCGGGCCGCGACCGGCATGCAACGCGCGAACACTTCTCCTCGACCTGCGATTGGCCTGTCGTTGCGGTTGCGGAGGGACGCACGCACGTGAACGACACATGCGTGCGTCCCTCCGTCGCTATGGCAACTGAAGCCTCTCTCTTTGTTTTTCACCGCTTCTTCGAGCACCCTCCTTGCCCCGCGAGTGCCGCGTGTTGTTGCGGCTCGCGCCGTTATCTAGTGTCGCACAGGGAAGCGTGCTCTCTGCGTCGGTCAGTCGGCGCGGTCGCCGGGCTGTTCCGAAAACCGCACTATAACCGGTATTTCCCTTCGCGCGCCTGCATTTTAAGCGGTATGCAATTACATGGAGTTCTATGGGAGGCAAACATGTGGTTTAAAAAAGCCGCGTTATAACCGGTCCTGCACTATAAGCGGTTACGTTGTAAGTGGTCTATACTGTACCAGATTGCGTGCCACGGGAACCGATACTGCGCACATATTGTGGATGAAAATGCTGAAACCCGCCGCAAACTTGCTTGTCACAGGTACTGCAGATCGCGCGGTTGACATGATTCCCGTCGGACATTGCGTCGGGTGTCGCAGGGAAGGGGCGATGCTTCGCAATTTTTATGTTAGGGATATTTAGCCAGAAAAATGGGAGGGGCGGTCTCTCGAGGGAGGGCATTCATACTGGATTCTTATGGTATGCTATACATGCTCCTGGATTTCTATCCTAACATAATTGTGCTATAAACTCGTCAGAAGGAAACTTTGTTTGTGACAACTCTAGTTCACTAAATGTGTGGAACACCGGAGAATAGACAGACCATTTACACGGAGAGAAAACCAAAACCGGAGTCAACTTGTAAGGAACTACTAGCTGAAAGACGTACATGTAGGAACTCCCCATTCCTAGCTTTGACTCCACAGCCAGAGGAAGTTATCTTCGAGCAGAGTTACTTGACAGTTTGGGATATAGATACTGTCGCGAATAAAAACAAATCATGAGCCATTCTAATCTGTGAAGGTGTTTAGCAGACAACACAGACATGCCCTGAGGAGCCGGGGGAAAGTAGACACGTGTAGCGAGACCGCCACCCCGGGAAAGTGGAAGGAACTAGGCATGCAAGAGCTTGGAACAACGACAAAGAGCATGGCCGACGCTGGTCGCATAGCGGCAAATCTTTAAGAAACCCTTATTATCTACCTGAGAGTCGACTCATCTTGAAAATGCTGCCTATTGATAACTAGTCTAGTAAAACTACATGTCCAAGGGATGAGACGTATAAGCTTTTGAATAGAATGGAGCAATTTTGTATCAAATTCAGGACCCGAGTTTTTCTTGATGCACACAAAAAATCCACAGAACCCTAGCCATGAACAGCTTCGGTGTAAAAAAAAAGATGAATTCAAAACTGAAAATAATAATTTAATGAGGCAAACTTACCGACTAAAGCCAAAGAATACACCGCGCATTAGGCGCAGGCAACTGGAGGGTAGGGTGGCCGTAATCTATGGCGCTTAAAACGGGACGTCGGGGGTAGGAGGGGTGAGGGGGGGGGGGGGGAAGTGCGGGAGCACGAAGCGAAGCGAAAGAGAAAAAAAGCAAGCTCTGCTACTATTCCCTTCCCTCAACAAATGCACACTTTTCCAAAGTTCTTCGTTAAGTTGAGTACAGAAGCACAATGAAACTTCTCCATCAACAAAAAGGTAGAAGAACCGTGCCAAATATGGTAGTATAAAAGAGTGCCCCGACCAGACGCCAGTGCGAACAGAAGGTATTGACGGCTGTTGATGGGAAGTTGAGGTCATTTGTTCCCAGGGTGTGACCCAGGCAGCTGTGCAGCTCACCAGCATCTCGAGGCTCTCCCTGGCCAGCGCCGGCCGGAGGATGAACTGCCGGGCAGCTCCACCGCTGCTGCTGCCCGAGCTTGTGCCTGGGGACCCAGCAGAAACGGGAAACTCCTTGCGTGTAGCCCCAAAAGTTACGGGGCTCGCACAAAGCAAAATAAGCTACCAAGCATTTATGAAGTACACGCAATAATCTTAGAAGTGCGCGAAAAATGCAAACTTTAAAAAAATTTGCGAGGAACTCCCAGATTGAGGCAAAAAAGCATATTTACGTTCAATTTACATCAGCTTGTCCGCACTCTCACTTTTTCTTCGTTGATTTGCGAAGAGCATTCACTTTTTGATTCAATCTGAAGCACACTTCTACTAATTCAAGTGTCCTAGTTTCTAGAATGTTCTAAGATTATGAACAGGTAACGTCCAACGTGTTTCTGCCATATATTTTAACGCATATTTTCTGCCTCACGTTCGCTACATAAATATTTCCAGTATTTTTGCGAATTTTTATTATATAACTATTTTATTAACTATATTGCCACGCGCATCACCGAGCGAGCGCGTGCTGGACAAATGGTTACTGTGCTTGGCTCTCGCGCGGAGGCCCCAGGTTCAATTCCTGGAGGCGGACGCTTTTAGGAATCGAAAATAATGCGAAATGAATCGTGCGTCACTTGGCAACAACATTGTGTGGGTGTTGTAAAGTAGGCCTTTAACCACAAAAGCCCTACCGCAGAGGCAAACCGAGCAAATTTGGGTACATGGCCAACACAGATTACTTTCAAGAGACGAGACGAATCTGGGGGTTTTGCGTGCCAAACCCACGGGGGGCATCTGGCACACCCCTGCGAAGGACGGCGGATTAGTTCTGACCACCCGAGGATTTTTTTATGCGCAACAGAAACCTTGGCAATATACCTCTGTCAGTTACCTCGACCAAGATTCCAACCCACCAGCTGGCAGGGGTGAATTTATGCTAGAAGGAAAGCGGTGGGCATTGGACTGGATGGGGGTGAGAATCTACAGAGGGATGACGTCGCAGGCAAAGCGTTGCCCTGATCTATATTGGTGGCCTAATATTTGCCATTTTACCAAAAACTAAACATTTCTTCCAAAGAAAAGCTGGTGTACGTCCTTTCTTTCATACAACAGGTTGACCTTGGGGGCTTAAAGGGGCACTGACACATCAAAATCATATTTTTTTTATTATCCAAACCGACTGAAAACGATGCCGGGACATTACCCTCAAAATTAGAAACTTGGGAATTCAGTATTTGTGAAGTAAAATAACAATTTCCAAACGCCGAATTCGAAGTTCCCGCGCTATCTGCACTAGTGCGTTGACGTCAAATATTGCGGAGTCATAATAGTCCACTTTCTTTCATGACTCCGTGCTGTTGCCATTGCGACCCGAAGCAAGGAGGAACATGCCTAGGGACCGAGAAAAACCGGTTTTATTTCATGCGCCGCGCGAGCGGTGCTGCCCGGCGCCTGCCCAGGCGGCATGTTTTTCGAGGGAGGATACAATTCCAGAAGGCGACATCACACCGGACTCCGATTTTTGATATTTCAAAAAGATGGGCACAGTGCGTTCGCAACTCTGTTAAAAAACATGTTTTACGATTGCCGTTATTAAATGTTATAGAAATGTTGCATACAAAGCGCCTAATTCTATGATTTTTGACGTCATGAATCAAAAGAAGCAAGGAGGCGAAAAACGGGAGAGAAGAACGCCAAAAATAAAAAGGTGCACGCGTGCACAAAAAACTTTTTTGCAATGCGTTTTTTTTTTTGTGTGTGTCTAAGACTACAACAACTTGCATTGTTTTAGACAAGAAAAAAAAATTACGACCCTTGGGGTTTTCAGTGCCCCTTTAGGGAGTGGTGGTGGGGTGGGGGTGGCTGAACGCTCCACCCATAAATCCACCCATGCCGGCTAGGGATGGCCAACGCTTTGCCTCGTAGCCGCCCAAGCGCCAGAAGGAACTCTGGCGTCGTCAAGCGAGGCTCAGAAAACGGTCCGAGAGAGTCCGCTCACCGGTGGCGGCTGCCAGTCCGGCGTGGAGATCCGGATCCGAGGCCCGCTGCAGGAGGGGCACCGCCGCAATCGTGCCCGGCAGCGCCGGAAGGACCGCCGCCCGGAGGACCCCGGGGACGAGGGGCGGGTCGGCGACCACCCCCTGCGCGGGGCGGTGCGGGGGGGGCGACTCCTCGGAGGGGGACCTGGGGGGCCCAAGGGGGCACAGCGTGTCCGACCGGTTCCTCCGCAGTGGCCCCAGGGGAGGGGCGCCCTGCCGGCCGCGCCCCTCGAGCAGGGACTGCACCGACGCCAGCAGCCCGCCCCGGCGAGGGGGCGGCGGGGAGGAGCGGGGGCGCCGGGGGGACGGGGGAGGCGACCCGGGGGTCACCGAGACACGGGGGATCGCGCGCTGGGGGGCGGACCACGACAGCCAAGCGGGGGAGGAGGGCGTGCGGGAGTGGTGGGGGGGCCTCCGCAGAGCGAGGGGGGGCAGGGGAGGCGACGGGGGTCTGCCGGTGGAGGGCCGGAGAGAGAGAAAGAGAGAGAGAGGGGGGACACGCGAGTCGTGAGATGGCAGGCACATGCCACAACCGTGCGGCTCGTCACCAAGCGGTGCCGGCCAAAGATGCACGTTCGGAAAGAGAGGCCGAGGGGGTTAGGCGAGCGAGTTTCGTCCCGCTCGGTTGGCCTACTTTGCTCCAAAATCTGCGTGCACATTCGAGCCCCGCATTGGTTTCTGGTGGATCGAAAGCCAATTGCTCAATGAAAAGTATGATGCCCAGAATGTGTCTCTGGCCGGTGCGTTTCCTGCCTTTGCTACACATGCATCGGCAGCGATCCAAAAGAGGAGACAAAGTATGTCGCGGAAGTCGTTACGTCACACTCTCGGATATCACGATATTGAGAGTTAGTCGCAGGCAGTGGCGTAACTACCGGGTGATTCAAGGAGACGGCAGGCTCTTTAAATCGACTCGAAAATTCGGTTTCTTTACCCATCGCGCTACGACTTTGTGCAGCGTTGCCCACAGATGGTGCATTTTTTTTTGGTAAAATTTGCAAAGAGCGAACTTACCTGAGGAAATCGTAAAGAAAGAAAAAGGCTTAGCTCCTATGGAAACGCAGCGATGCCACCGGTCTTCAAATAACACGGCGCCGTTTCGCACGGGAGACAAGAGATGGCACAAGCGGTTGCGACGCCAACTGCCGCCAACGAACGAGCAGATGATGCCGAGAGCCGGCGTATTTAGCAGACAAAGAACTGCAGTTCCTTGTTACCGCGCCAGTTTTTGTTTCTGCGACTGTCGCCGTCTGCTGAACGCGCGCCGCTTTTGAGTCTAAAAGATTGTCTGCTAAAAAGGCCTGCTCTCGGCGCCGTACGCTTGTTCAGTGGCGGCGTTTGTTGCGCCATCTCTTGCCTCCCGTGCTAAACGACGCCGCGTTGTTTGTAGACCAGTGGCGTCGCTGCGTTTCCATAGGAGCTAAGCCTTTTTCTTTCTTTACTTTTTCTCAGGTAAGTTCGCTGTTTGCAAATTTTACAAAAAAATGCACCACCTGTGGGCAACGCTGCACAAAGTCGTAGCGCGATAGGTTAGGAAACCGAATTTCCCGGTCGATTTAAAGAGCCTGCCGTCTCCTTGAATCACCCGGTAGATATGACGGCGCCCATGGCAAATGAAATTTCGCGCCCCTCATGATGATAGTGATAATGACATCATCATCATCATATTATTATTATTATGGGTGGACTCGGCTCGGCGCCCCCTTCCCAAGTGGCGCCCGGGGCACTTGTACCCCCCTGCCCCCCCCCTAGTTACGCCACTGGTCGTAGGCGTGCTGGCAGAAAAGGCGAGCAGACGCAAGAGTTGCCGTCGACACGGCATCCCGTCTCGCGTCTGCTTCAGTTCAAGTCGATTGTATGGCTGCAGAAGGAGCCGCGGCGGAATGTCCGTCCAATGCCTCCTACGCCGTTACTGCCAGGGTCGGAGCGGGCAATGGCACGACTTATACGCGATGACGTCGGACAGAAATCGAGGGTCCGAGAACAAGGACGCGGTAAATGCACCCATCAGAGACAAGTTACAGGGACCATAGATTAAAGAGAACCGCTTTTACGGGTATTTTATCAATCGTTGGGAAATCTGTAGGCACGAGATAATGATCCCGTGCCAAAATTTCTGCATTAAAAGAGAATCGGCAAATAACGTGATTTCTTCTCAAACACACACAGATGCAAAAAAATGCCTCTAAGCGAGTTTAGAAAAGAAGACAGAAATGTACCCTAGAGATTGCTGCTCAGCATGACTGGCTTCAAAAAGATAAAAGATTCAGTTTACCCAACGACCAAGAGGCGTGCTCGGTCGCAATATCGCGATGCAGCCACGGGTGACAAACCCGAGATTTCTCAGACACGCCACTCAAATGCAAATGCAATAAAGTCCTCTCAGTTCCGATACGACAAACATGCTCGAGTCACAGGTATGGCGGTAACCTCGCCCTACGAGAGCGTGCACAAAATGTGAGGGAACAAAGGGTGAAGAGACAGTGGCCACAGGACTTTGTGGCTTCTTTCCCGAGCTGATGTTTGACCCAAAAGGCTGAGAAACAGTCGCAGCAGTGTCCTTCGCCTTCCCCCGTTGTACTGAGTGAGGGGAGGCAGACACTGCTCGCACCCAACACAGAAGGGCTACACATCAGTCTGTCGGAGAACTGCGGTACAAACTGCCACCAACCTGAACCCTCCAGAGCTACTCTGCATGTTCCCACGAACCAAAGGCAACTTATTTTTATAAAGAAGGCAGTGGAATGACAAGAATGTGGGATGACTGACCCTACATTCGCAGTACCAATCAATCAATTTGCAGATCAGGAAGGGAAACTAAAAAAAAATGGCTTCGTGTGTTTGGGGCTTATTTTTATAAAAATCTAGGGGTGTTGTTTCGGGGTTATATTTTTCACCGCAGGTTCGGCGCTTCGAAGCATGCTTTCTAACGGAAGACCTTAATTCCAAACATTGGTCCGTCCATCCGTCCATGTGACCTCAGCGGAGAAGTTGATGCAACGCGACCACCTGATGTGACCTCAGGCCACGTTACGTGGTGTAACGTGACCTGAGATCGCACGAGGCTGTCACTTGACACTGTGAAATCAACTTCCCCGCTAAATTTAGTGGGGAAACAGACACCTTGTGCAGGGGAAGAGGGGGCGGTAAATTAGTAGAATAAAAAAAAAAAGTGAAAGCCGTTTACAACTCCCTGTAACGCCGAATTAGAGCGCAGCTCTTGAGGAGGAGGAGGGAAGGGTACTGGGGGGGTCACGTGACCTTGAGGGGTCACGTGACGATGCCGATGATGTCATTAGTGACGTCACTGATGACGTCATCAGTGACGTTGACGATGCGGACTCCGATGACGTCATCAGCGATGATGACGATGACGATGCGGATGTCGGTGACGTCATCAGTGACGTCACTGATGACGTCATCCGTGATGATGACAATGACGATGCGGATGTCGTTGGCGTCATCAGTGACGTCACTGGTGTCGTCATCACTGATGATGACTGTGGAGGCCATGCCGGGCCAGAAGAAGGTTCGTGCGAACTCTCTCGTGCCAGAACAACAAGTGACTTTTATTCCGTCGAAAATAACACACGAAGCCGCCCCCGCGGTGGCACAGGGTTGCCTGCGGCAATCACGTACGCGAGGGTTGCGCCCTCTACATCTCCCCCCTCAGAATCACACTAAAGGTCCAACTTCCTGGGACGCACCACCCGTCGGCCACACCTGGTTCTTTGTACAGGTGAGGTATCCAAGCCAGGTTCGTTGCGCCGGAGGTTGTGGCTCGTAGGCGAAGGTGGCTGCTGAGGTTGAGCCGATCCTTGAGCTGCAGGTGCCACCAACTCTTGAAGAGGAACCGGTCCTTGAGGAAGAGCCGGTCCTTGAGATGCAGGTGCAGGTGGTTGCCGAGGGGAAGCCCGTGCCTGCGCTGCAGGTGCCGCCGGTTCTTGAGAAGGAGCCAGACCTTGAGCCTCTTCTCTCGCAGTTGGGTCTTCACTGCCTGTCCTGAAAGGCACCAAGTTTCTCCGATTGCGCTGCCAGATTGCTCCCTCATCTGTTTCCACCACGTACGACCTGGGACGTTGCGCTGGACTGAGGACAGTAGCCTTTACCCGTTCCGGACGAACCCAGACGCGGGTACCGTCTTCCAGCGGCGAGAGGCTTCTAGCCCGATGGCGGCGATCAAAGTCGGTGACTTGCCGACGTTTGAGCTTCGCGGCCTTGGTGGCCACCTCCTCCTGTGGCTTGCTACTTGGTACCAACAGTCTCCCCGCCTTGGGAAGTCTGGTGCGGAGTCGGCGCCCCATCAACAATTGTGCCGGACTGAAACCTGAGGGTCCGGGGGTATCTCGGTAGTTGAGCAAAGCCAGGCACGGATCGTGCGCCTTGCGTAGCAGGTTCTTCACCGTGCGCACCATGCGCTCTGCCTCCCCATTGGACTGTGGGAAGTTGGGGCTGCTTGTCTGGTGTACGATTCCGTACGATGCCATGAACCGAGCGAACTCGTGGGACTGGAAGGGTGGTCCGTTGTCTGAACGCAGAGTGGAGGGGATGCCGTGACGAGCGAAAATGCTCTTGAGCGCTTGGATGACATGCCCAGCTGTTGCAGAGTTGAGCGAGACCACTTCCGGATAACTGGAATAGTAGTCGACCACGAGGAGGTAAGACTGTCGGTTCAGGTGAAACAAGTCAGCGCCCAGAAAGTCCCAAGGTAGACTTGGAAGCTGCGTGCTCCGAAGTGGCTCTGCTGGATTGTCTCGGTACGACGTGCACTGTTCACATTGTGCCACGAGTGCTGCTATGTCAGCGTTGATACTTGGCCACCATACTGATTCCCGGGCCCGAGCCTTGCATCTGTTAATACCTTGGTGACCTTCGTGAATCAAAGTCAGCGCTGTCGCACGTTGCACTGCTGGTACCACAATGCGAGTGCCTTTCAGGAGTAAACCATCACAAACCGAAAGTTCGTCCAACACGCTTGCATACTTCGTCAGGTGAAGCGGTAACTTTGACTTCGGAGGGAACCCGTTGTGGCACATCGACGTGAGTGCGCGACACTCCCCGTCGCTTGCTTGAGCAGTTCGAAGGTCCTCCAGCTGTAGAGATGCTGCTTCTGATGAGGTCTGAAGGACTTCCGCAGCAAACACT